GCTGCTTGGGTGCCGGGCTGGGTGAGCCCACGGACAAGGCACCCACAGCACAAAGAACTCTGTGCAGGGGCTGAAAGGAAGAAAACGTGCAAAATCCTCGACTCCAGCAGCTCATGGGCCCACGCTGCAGCAGCTGCTCGGCACGGCCGGTTCCCAAAGCCCAGCAGCATTCCTGCAGCCTCGCCGCTGACAGGACGCCGGAGCAGGAGCCAGGGAGGGCAGCCCCAGGGCTCTCCCTGCCCCAGTGCTCCTGGTGCTCCTGGCTCAACGCGAGCCCCAAGTTTGATTTGCCTCGCTTTTGGTCCCCTTTGCTCAGAAAACCAGCCTTTGTGCTGAAAGCTTGTTCTGTCTTTCAGGCTGCACCAGCTAGCCTGAAAAAAAAAGAAAAACTAGAAGGTATATCGCATTTCTTCCTAAATCCTCCGTCCTGCCCCAAGGCTTTGGAGCAGTCCCACCACAGGAGCACGGCCGCTGGGCGTGCTGGCAGCACGCACTCCCCAGGAGCAGGCACGTCACCCCCAGCACTCCCCTGTGCCAGGAAAGAAGTGACGGAGCCGAGCCGTCAGCAGGGTGCTGATAGAGCCCTGCTCAGAGCCCTTCGTCTGCTAGGGCTGCACGTGAAGGCAGCCCATCATTACGCACGTGAGTTACAAGTACCAGCAAAGCAGGACTCCTAGACCTTTAGCTTCTGTTCTCTGGGTTTTCTACCAGCTATTACGGTAGCCACAGAAGCGGAAACAAGTTTTATCACTCATCTCCAGGCCAGCACATCACATGCATTCATTGCGTTACGTGAACACATTTGGGGACAAAGAAAGTCTCCAGTCTGACTGCTCACCTTGCGCAGCCTGAATCGAGCTCCTTCCCCTCGGCCATGGGATGGAAGCAGAGTTTGTTTTATTGAGTGGCTGTAGCTGATGATAGCTGCTCTGGAAGAAGACTGCTCGCTTGCTGACCCGCCCAGAACCACTCATTTGCCCCAAATCTGATTTTTCTTTAAAGCCACCATTGGCGATTGGCAGCTCCTCGCTGGCTCCCCTGTGGACACAGTGTGGCCCCGAGCAGCAGCACGTGGTCAGGGCAGAATGAGAGAGCTGCAAAGGCTTGAAGCCGCGGGTTATTTCTGGTCCTGCACCAGGGCTACGTGGATTCATGGTTTAACATCAGCTACATTCAGGAGTTGTGTTTACAAAAGGTGTAACTCTGACTACCAATAAAATTCGGTGCCAAATCCTAACAAATCCGTAGGCTGGAGCACTGCTCCTGGGAGGGAAGGCGGAGAGCTGGGGGTGTGCAGCTGGAGGAGAGAAGGCTCCAGGGAGACCTCCTGGCAGCTGCTCAGTACGTAAAGGGGGTTATAAACGGATGGAGGACTTTTACTCAGGTAGCTAATGACTAGGACAAGGGGGAATGGTCTGAAACTAAAGGAGGATAGGTTTAGATTGGACATTAGGAGGAAGTTCATCACTCAGAGGGAGGTGAGGCACCGGCACAGGCTGCCCAGAGGAGCTGTGGATGCCCCATCCCTGGAGGTGTTCAAGGCCAGGCTGGATGGAGCCCTGGGCAACCTGATCTGGTGGGGGGTGGAATTGGAGGATTTTTCAGGTCCCTTCCAACCTGAGCCATTCTATGATTTCAGGAATAGAAGTCCAGCCTCCTTCGACTCCTTTTTATCACCTCATTAAATAGAAAATAAGAGATGCTCTGGTCTCTCGCTCTTTAGGCAGGAATTATTCCCAGCATCAGTGTGAGGAAGATGTGCAGCTGCCTCTCCTGCTGCTTCCCACCAAGCGACTTTCCTGCAGTTTCTGGTCCCGGACCAGAGCAGAGCAGCCTCCTTCCTTCCTTGGGCACCTTCTGCAGCAGCCTCCATGCACACCTCGAGCCGCAGCCGCTGCCACCCCAGGTCCCTCTGCTTGCAGGACCGCAGGACCCTGATGTGGTGTCTCTTCCAGATGGCCTCGCTCTTACGGCTCCTCTCTTGGGACAAGCACCCAGCAGTTACAGGCCAGCACAACTGCTGGTTAGCAGAGTGCTTTCCTCCCTCAGAAACAGAAAAATACACACGGAAAAGAGTTTTCAAGTTCCGGGAGGGGTTAGTTACCAACAGCTACACAAAGCCTCCAGCCTTTTCCTTCTCACCTCTCAGTGCAACTTGTCTCTGTGTTAGTGGGGCTCTGCATCGCCCCAGCAGCCACACAACGGCACCCGCAGCACACACACGGCCTGCCACAACCAAGCAAACCTTCCCCAAGAGCTTGGTAACCTCCAAGGAGTTTGGCCGGGACCGAAATAAAGGAGAGCTCGCGTCACCCCGCGTCACCCCACGTGCTGCTCCTGAGCAAACACAATGGGCTCCAGCCCGGGACGAGAAGGCAGTGAACCAGGTCACAGCCTCACAGGGCAGCCTCACAAGCCCTTCTGTCGGGCTGCCTGCTTCTGGGGGGCTCAATCCCAACCCAAACTACTGCCACAAACCCATTTCCAAGCTGCCTTCCCCCCTCGGATGAAGGAGCAGGGAAGGAGGTGTGCAAAGGACTCCAAACCGAAGGAAAAGCGCTGCTCCGGGGGGTCCGAGCCCCGGGGGGAGCAGAGGAATTTGCTCAGCTGTGGTGGGCAAGAAGCCTGCTTTGGGCTGGGAAGTTCCTCACGCTGTGTTTGTGCTTTTAGATTAGCATAATTTAGATTAGCATAATTATAATGGGTCTGATGCGCCCGGTGCCACCAGTGACAGCTTCCAGAGGCACGCAGCGTGCCCCAGCATGAAATCCCAGCAAGGAGGATGAACAGAGCCCAGCAGGCTGCCCATAAACCGGGGGAAAAAGCCGTGGTTTTGGGACAATTTGCTGCTTCCATCCGAAGCATTTCGGAAGGCAAGGGATGGCTCTGGGAAGGCAGCAGAGCCCGCAGGTGAGCAGACACACGCCCCGGTGCTTGATTTGCTGCAGAAGCCAAGCAGCTTCCCCTGAACTCCCCCACGAGGAATCGCTTCGTGGCGCCCCGCGATGATGGATGTACGCAGGCTGGGCCCCCGGCCTGACATTTGGGAGAGGGTTCAAGTCCCGGCCCTGCCAGATGACTTCCTGCAGGGCAACGGGATCTCTGCAGGCTAATCCTCCACCTGAAATAGGAAGAGGAGCGCTTCCACGTCCTACAGCACTACGAGGTTAAAGATACCAGAGCCTGCAGCCAACTCTCAGGAACCTGAAGTGCCAAAATTCTCCCTGCAGTGAGGGCCCATGGATATTTGGTAGGTGCTGCACAGAAACCACCTGAACTCACAGGTTTCCCTCCTCATCAACCAAGCAGCAAGTCTCTGTCATTTTTTCTTCCCCTTATTAACCTTACCCGAGCGGATGGCAGTTTGAGGGTTTCCTCCAGCCAAGGCACAACAAGACCAGTCGCAGCTCTGCAGAGCGGTGACATCCCCGGCTCCTCGGGCAGCACCACGCTGCCAGACACGAGCAGCACGGCCCCAGGGGACACCCCCGGGCTCTGATCAGGGCTGGTCGCAGCTCTCGCAGAGCCCAGTGGTGCAAAGGGGCCGTGCCAGCAGACAGCCAGGGGCTACCAAACGCAGGAGGCTGGGGTGAGCCGCACCCCACCGGAGAGCCCGCCTGAGCGAGTGCTCTGCCTCCTTATAGCACAGCCACAGGGAGCAGAAAAACATCTCAGACATTTCACCTTGTTAGGCTGAGCGGCTGAAAATAGCCACGGGATGAAAAACAAACCAGCTGGAAACTCATCCGGACGGTAAGGCTGCAGCGAGCTGGAGGCACGGCACGGCGCGGGGACACCACGGCCCCGACCCCAGCTCCCCGTGCGGACCCTCGGAGCGCCTCCAGAAGGCAGCACCGCTCGGTGCTGAGCAAGGGACTCACCTCGGCCAGCACCAGCACCACGAGCAGGCAGCTCTGGAGACCAACTCGCCCCTAACACGGGCCAGCGAGGTGAAAGCTGCACCTGAAGACAGCCAGCGCCGCAGCGATGGTACGGAACAGCAGGCTGCTAGACCAAAATGACCACAGAGGGGTGAATCCCACCCTCACCGAGGCACACGGGCACCACGAGAAGAAAAAGCAAGGAGGAAACAACAACTGAGACCCCAGTCTCCCTTCCTCCCTACCAAGAGCTGTACGAAAAACTGCCAGAGGACTCGGCACGCTGCGCAGCGTGGAAGAGGGGCACCGAGTGCCCCCAAGCATCCCCTGCCACGTTTTCTTTTAAAACAGTACAAGTTAGAGCAAACGAGTAACAGGAAAACGTGATTATCTACAGAGCACAGGGCGCAAGTCTTCAGGAAGCGCTGCCACCCACAAGAAACCACCGAGAGCAGCGGGGCCCTGGGCATGCTGAGCACACTGAGGGCTCCAGGAGCCCCGCAGGACGATGCTCCCACAGCTCCCACTGATAACAGGGGCTGGAAACGCTCCCCGTGCCCAGCATCGGCCGCCCTCCCCACCCGCTGCCCCACTGCACAGCTCCTCTCCTGCAGGGTCACCACCGACGTTCCCCCAAATGGAATTGTTGGGGTGCTCTTTGGTCATTTTCGCATAAATCCCTTCTTCCTTATTTACTTACAGCTTCCTACAAGCTTAATGCCAAGTGGAGATTGGGGGCCAGACGCTGACCCTGCTGTAAAACACCAGGAAGAGGAGAAAGCCCCGCGGCTGCACGGGAGCTGCAGGGCCCTTCAACACTTCAGCCATGAGCTGTGACACCGCCACCACCCCGTGCTGACAGCCGCCGCGTGCGGGAGTAATTAACGAGGAGACGCTGCTCCGGGCCTGCTGCTCCCCCCAGATACACCAAAACCTGCAGATCTTCAGCAGCGAGCACCGGGCCTGCGGGCCGGCACAGGGTGACACACCGAGTTCTGTCACAGGCAGCTGGGCAGCATTGTAACAGCAGCGAGCTGGGCAATAAGATCTTCAGAAGTTATGTCTGGCCCCCAAACGAGGTTTTATCCTGCAGTCTGTTGATATCAAGGAAAAAACAGCTTTTTTTTTTTTTTTTTTTTTTGCTTAGTCACAAATGAATTCTGCACTGGCACCCTCCCCGACCTAAACACACGCATTGCTTAGCAGCTGTAATCCGGAGCTCTTCCCCCCGGCCCGCAGCACGAAGCTTAGCTCCCGCAGCAAACAAGCAGGCTGGTCATTTACAGCTCCGATGCGGAACATTCTTCAAGTTCTCCTCTTTATTATGCTTCCACCCTCCAAGAATTGCAGAAATTCAGGCACCGGAGCTCAAAAACCTGGAGTAGTGAACTGAGCTGACCTTAACACTCCTCCTTTTGGGGACAGCAGAGCACGGAGCACCTCGCCATAAAGCCAGCGCCTCGCCGCCCCGCACGAGGCACGGAGGGGTGCCTGCTGGCAGGCCCCCGGCCCCCACCGGTTCCCCCCTCTCTCCACCACTTTCTGAAGGCTGGCTGGGGGCAGCGAGGCTCCTGCACTTCCACAGCCCCGATCTGCACGCCCAGGGCAGATGATGCCTCCTCTGCATGCCTCCACAGCCCCTGGGGAGGGGGCCGGTGCCCACCGCAGCCCCCGAGGAGCGGGAGGTTCCCGAGGGCAGCCCAGCCCGCGCTGATGCCCGCGCCACGCCACGAGCTCATGAACTTTCCAACATGGAAAAAATAGGTTACTTAAAAATAGGCCGGTCAGGCAAACAAACAAGCGCCTGATACTATTTCATGAAGATAAAACAAACGGGCACAGGCTGTTTGCGTACGTAAGCAAACGCAGTGGCTTTAATGACTTCCTGGTGCTCCTCTGGTGACTTTCATACCGAGCCCAGCGCCGGGTGCTCCGTCCCACAGCCGCAGGTGACAAGAAGTGCCAGTGCCACGTTGGGGCACAGCCCTGCTGCCCGCCCCGGCCACCAGCCCCTCTCCCAGGCTTGCAGCAGCAGCGCAGGGAGGCTCCAGGTCAGAGCCGACCCCGCTGTGGAGCTGCGGCCACATCCTCTGCCCCTGCTGAAGGGCCAGCATCAGCCGCTGAAGGAGGAGCTGCAGTTACAGAGGCACAGTCAGTGAGACGGGACCCCAGGGGCTGGCCGAGTGGCACAAGGGAAAACCAAAGGCTCGGGGCAGCAGGGCAGCCTCACGCCCTCGAGGAACGCCTCTGGGCTCTGGCAGCGAGCCCTTGGGGCATGAAGAGGGGAGAGGACAGGCCCCAGAGCTGAGCGGGGCCACGAGGCCGTGCTGCTCACACAGCCTGGGCTGGGGGAGAGCTGCAGGAGCCACGCAGCCGCCCGGCACAGCCCGGGGGTCTCCCAGCCCGGGGGACTCCCAGCCGCACGCGGCAGCTCCGCGCAAACGCCTCCGGCCACATCTCCCCGTGGCCAGCAGGCAGCTGCAGCCTCCCCAGCCTCCCTGCCTGCTCCCAGTTTTGTTTCTCCCTCCCCAGCTTTGCTTCGCAGCTAAATAACTCGGGAAGCAGCCAGGCGTTTGAACATGAAGGTCGTGTGATAAGGACTCTCAAAACTGAAACGCGACGGCGGCTAACGAGCAGTTAAGGGAGGAGGAGGTGAGCAGCCTGGGCACTGAGAACCACACAGGGTAAGTGCTGCTGCCTCCTGTAATCAGCCTCCGAGCTTAACGAGCTGCAGCAGCAGTTTTAGAAGCAGGGGATAGCCTCGAGGAAAGCTGCTCCTCTCAGAGGATCTCCTGCTGGTACAGCCTCCTTTTAGTGACGGGACCCACGTGGGATTGCGCTCGGTGCCCTTTTGCCTCCCTTCCCTCACCACGACTCAGCTCTGGAAATCAAACCCAGGGCACTGTGACACGCTTGGCTCGCAGGACCAGCCCCCGGGCAGGACAGGCACCGCTCTGTGCTAGCAGGAGGAGCAGGAGCAGGTAACGTGCACAGTGTCACCAACACGCCCCTGGCACCCTGCGAGCCCAACACAGACAGCCATAAAACAACCAAAAAAAAACATTTTGGCTGCTCCTTCCCCACCCTGTGGGGATGGGACGGTTCTGAGAGGGGCAGTTTGAAGGCTGAGGATCTGGGAGGGAGCCAGCACAAGGCTGAACGGAGCCTCAGCCTCCCCAGCCCCAGTGGCACCAGCCCCGTTTTCCTCCCCAGCACCTGCCTGCGGCCACGGCACCGCGTTACGTGGATCAGGGCTTGAGGCAAGGAGGTGCCACTTATGTCCCTGTGCTGTCGATTCAGCCTCCCTCTGCCTACGATTTCCATGTGGTTAACGGATTCTCCTCTCCCCCAGGAGGACTGAGCAGGCCCCAAGTAACCCTGGAGGCTCTCCTCTCACACACGCTCCGCAGGCACCGGCAGCGCGCTGCGGTCGCTGCCAAGGGACGGGAACTTCTCCAGCTCTCAGCACGCCGGTTCCTGGAGATAAAATTTCTTCTCTGAAAAAAAAAAAAAAAAGCGAAGGCCGTGCCACCCAAGCAGGAGCACTCCCTGTTTTCTGGTAGCGTTTCTTTAACGCGTTCCCAGAAGCAGTGGCACTGTGTTGTGCGTTGCCAGAGCCGCACCAGCACCGGCTGCCCCGCGGCGGGGAAGGGGCACCCAGCGAGCTGCCTCGGCCGGCCCCACGGCCACACTTTGAGCTGGCACGTCAAAAAACACTTCTCTTCTGCGGAGATGTCCTCAAGCTGCCCACCAAGAGCAGCCTCTGCTCCGTGAAAGCACCGGCAGGGCACGGCTGCAGCTAGAACAAGAGGCACTGTAACGAAAGCCTTGGAGCCTCGGGGACAGCGCCGCTTTTTGAAAGCGTTTTGTTTAAAAGCAAGAAAAAGGGAGCGGGTCCGGGTGCCTCACAAACCCCTCCAGGTTTTCCCTCCTGTGGGAAAGGCGAGGCCATGAAGTTATTACAGAAACCAGCACCCGGCTGTGCCCACCCCAGGGCGCCAGCTCGCCGGGCTCCTGCCACAGCCGGCTCACCAAAGCAGCTCCCTTGCTGCCGTGCATGAAATCAGAGGTTCTGGCAGAGGAATAGAGGGCAGGTGCGGATTTTGGCATCGTGGTGGGTGAGGTAAACGTGAAATAGCATGAAAGAAGTGCAGTGCCAATGCTCCACCAGTTAAACAACCAGCAGCCCTAATGCTCAATATAATATAAAATAGAGGGGTGCTGCTGCACAGCACAAACACGGGACAAACCCCGGTCCCACAGTGCCCCGTGGCAGCCCCAGTGCCCCTGCTCTGCTCGGGGCTGATCCCTGGCTGGACCCCCCCAGGCTCCTGCAGGAAGGAGAAACGGGGTAAATCCACACCCAGGTCAGCCCCTGCCCAAATAATGCCGGCAGAGCAGGGGCTGGAGCCCAGCACCGGGCCACTGGGAGCACACGCAGAAGGGGGCAGGCACGGCCTGCCACACGCACAGAGGATCCCACAGAGCACTCTGAGGGCACACCGAGGCTCAGAGGGGCACAGACCGCGATATCCCTGTGGCTGGAAGGGGACGGGGCAGGTGGCAACCTAACAGAGCTCAGGTGAGCGGTGCCACGGCCAAAGAAGCCAGGAACAACACCACCACCCCCAGCACAGCCCCTGCACCTTCCCCGCATCTCCAGCGATGTCCCTGGCAGCGATGACAGGAGAAGAGGAGCAAGCTCAGCGACACCAGCTCGGACCATGGAGGCGCTCACCGTGTTCACTGTGATCCCATGCACCACTTCCCGAGGCGGCCACAGGCCACGCAGCCAGCAGGACAGACGAGCCTGAACCCACAGGCCGGACAGACACCGGTGGCCGTGAGGTCCCAGCAGGGAGCCACGAAGAGGAGCAGCCCCCTCCTGACAGCACCGCTGGTTTCGGCTCCGTCCCCACCACCGGCATGGGGGCGTGCGAACGGCACGGCGAGAGCCCTGAGAGCCCCGGGCCAGGCGTGCAGCCGGACGGGCTGGGGCTAAAAATAACCACGTGTGGGTGAAAACAATCCTACCGGCAGGCCGGCCCTCAGCACATCCTGCGCAACGCGGGGCGGCCGCTGCCCGGGCTCCCCGGGTCACGGAACTGCTCTGTGAGGTGTTCGCGGGCAGCTTCGGGACCCCCTCGCCGCCCCTCCTGGCTCCGCGGCACCGACCCACTGCACCGAGGCTCCCCGGGGCCTTACGAAATGGCTCCTGCCCTTTTGGGAGCAACCCAGCGCTGAATCTGATACCGGCACGGGAAGATTAAGGATGAAGCGTTCACCAGCAGCCTGCGAACGAGTCGAAGCCAGAAGAAAATCTGATCTGGTTTTCCCCCAGAGCCCGGTCACCAGCGCTGACTTTCCTCCGCACACACAAACCGCTCTTCTCAAACCCTCACTCAGAAATCTTGGGACCCAGAACATGCACAAATGCCCAGCAAAGTGCATCACTGTGCTCGTGGTGTGGGCAGGGGAACACAAGCGGCCGAGCCTGAGCAGCAGACAGCACTGAGGCCACATTGCTGCTTCGGCACACAGCCTCCCTGCATCTCCTGGGACCCTGCTCCAGGGAAAAGTGACCAAAGCCGTCCAATTTTTTTTTTTTTAAATCATTAAAATCGTGGCATGTCACACAAATAAATAAACAGAACCCTTTCACTTTCGAAAATGTGTCAAACACCCGCCCCTGCTTCACGATAACAGCCTGTGCTGCTGGGGACGAGGAGAAAAGCGGCGAGCTGCTGCCTGGGGCTGCTCACTGTGCCAGGCAGTGCCCTAAAAGTTACAAAGCAAGTGGCCACGCGATCTCAAAGGGCACACTTTAAGGGGTGTTAACAGAGTGCAACAAGCACCGCCGAGCCCCCCGTACACGGCGTGGCTGTGCCAGGAGCTGCCGGCCTTCAGGCTGAAGGGCCCCGCTCCGTATGAACGCGTGTCTGGGTTTGCAGCCTGCGAGGTGCCACGTGTTGCTCTGCAGCACTGCGCGCCCAGAAGGAGCCAGAACGTGCCAGCAGAGAAAAGCCGACGGCGTGGAGAAGAACGAAGCCCTCCTGCAGGAAAACCCCACCTGTGGGCAGCCTGGGCAGCAGGGCCTGGGTCCCGCGCCCTCCCTGCACCGACGGCTGCGAGGGAACAGCGAGGCAGCGGCTGAATCACCAGGGCCGCCACACTTCTGCAGGGCCTCCAAAAATAACTCACCCGAAAATTCCTTGGAGGCATAAACCTTGCTTCATCAAAAGGACGGCAGAGATCCAGTTTCCTTAATGGAGCGGGCTGGATGCGAACCGGCTTAAGGACTTTAAGCTCACATACGGGGGGCACAAAAACAACTTCCAGCAGAGCAGGCAGCACGCGGGCCGCACGAAGCAGAAGGGAGCCCCGTAAATCGGGCTGCCGGCGAGGTGAACCCAGCTCCCTGCACACCAGGCACCGAGCTCCTGACGGATCACCCCATAGCGGGATCCCAGGGACCTGCCCCATTACCCCTGAGCCAGCCCCAAAGGCCTTCAGGGTGCCTGGCTCTGTCCGGGCACCTTCACCCCGCAGCCCCCAGCCCCGGCTGCTGAGCTCCCAGCAGGGCCAGGACACGGCCCAGCCACGGGCCTGCACCGGGGCCATGCCATGAGCCAGGCACCACCCCGGGGCCCCAACCGATCCCCGGCCCCGAGCAGCCCCAGACCCCGGTGCCGGCTGCGGGCACGGCCGGGGGGGAGCCCCGTGGCCCCCAACCCTGGAGGGGCACCGGGGCTGTGCCGGGGGGGTACCGGGCTGGGAGCAGGGCTGAGAGGGGAGCACGGGGCGGCCCCGCTGAGGCGCTGGGGGGGTGCCCGGAGCCCCGGGGCCCAGCTGGGCGGTGGGCACGGAGCCCTCCCGGGGCTGTGAGGGGCTGAGGGGGCTCTGGGGGGGGCCGTGAGTGGGCCCTGAGGGGGCTCTGAGGGGACCCTGGGGGGCTCTGGGGGGATCCTGAGGGGGCTCTGGGGGGGCTCCGGGTGGGCTCTGAGGGGGAGGCTGACGGGGCTCTGAGGGAACCCTGAGGCGGCTGAGGGGGCTCCGGGTGGGCTCTGAGGGGATCCTGAGGGGACCCTGAGGGAATCCTGAGGGGGCCGTGAGGGGGTTCTGGGGGGGCTCTGGGGGGACCCTGAGAGGACCCTGAGGTGACTCTGGGGGGGCTGAGGGGAGGCTGATAGGGCTCTGAGGGGGCTCTGAGGGGGCCCCGGGTGGGCTCTGAGGGGTCTGAGTGGGGACTGAGGGGAGGCTGAGGGGGCTCTGAGGGGGCCCTGAGGGGACTGAGCAGGCTCTGAGGAGGCTCTGAGGTGACTCTGGGGGGGCTGAGGGGAGGCTGAAAGGGCTCTGAGGGGGCTCTGAGGGGGCTCCGGGTGGGCTCTGAGGGGGCTCTGGGGGGACCCTGAGGGGGCTGGGGGAAGGCTGAGGGGATCCTGAGGGGGCTCTGAGGGGACCCTGAGAGGGCTGAGAGGGGACTGGGGGGACCCTGAGGGGGCCCTGAGGCCGTTCCCGTCCCCGCGTCCTCACCCGCGATGGCCGCGTCCTCCAGGTGCGGTGCCGGGGCCCTTTCTCCGCGGCCGTGCTGCAGGAGGAGGAGGAGGATGAGGAGGAGGCCGCACGGCCCGGCCCGCACAGCCATGGGGCCGCTGCTCGGGGCCGCTCCGAGCCGCTGGGGCCGCCCCGGGCCGGCTGCGGGCTGAGGCAACGGGGCCGCCCCCCCCCCGCCCCCCGGGGTGGTCTCTCCCTCTGCCCTCCCCCCCCCCCCCCGCGCCCTGCCCCCTTGGTCTCTCCCCGCCCCGCCCCGCCCCGCCCCGCCCCGCCGCGCGCTCTCTGACAGGGGGCGGAGCCAAAGCGCCGGCCAATGGCGGGAGGGCTCCAGGCCACGCCCCCTCCCCTCCCTCTCCCGCCGCTGCCGCTGAGCCGCGGCGCCCTCTGGTGGCCGTGAGGGGGGGGGGGAGAGGGTTGGGCGCGAGGCGCGGTGTGGAAGCTAAGCAGGAGGGGCCGCGTGTGAAGCTTGGATGGGTGACCTGTCCGGGAGAAGAGGGGATGGGGACCTCTGTGCGCCCCCACACTGCTCGCCCCCAGCCTGTGGCTTCTCTGGGCCCTACAGTGGGGGGGGGCCCTACAGGTGTGGGGGGACCCTCCTGCAGTTCCCAGTGCGGAGCAGAGGAGCAGGGTCCCCTCCCTGCATGGGGATGGGGATGGGATGGGGATGGGATGGGATGGGATGGGGATGGGATGGGGATGGGATGGGGATGGGGATGGGATGGGGATGGGATGGGGATGGGGATGGGATGGGATGGGGATGGGATGGGGATGGGGATGGATGGGGATGGGGATGGGGATGGGGATGGGATGGGATGGATGGGATGGGGATGGGATGGGATGGGATGGGGATGGGATGGGATGGGGATGGGATGGGGATGGGATGGGGATGGGATGGGATGGGGATGGGGATGGGGATGGGATGGGATGGGGATGGGATGGGGATGGGGATGGGATGGGATGGGATGGGATGGGGATGGGGATGGGATGGGATGGGATGGGATGGGATGGGATGGGATGGGGATGGGATGGGGATGGGGATGGGGATGGGATGGGGATGGGGATGGGGATGGGGATGGGATGGGATGGGATGGGATGGGATGGGGATGGGATGGGGCCCCCCCCTGCCCCATCCCTCCTCTGGGTGGCAGCAGGGCCCCGCTGCTCCGAGGGGGGGGGGGGGGTCAGGATGGTGGGGGGGGGGGCTCAGGAGTGGGGGGGGTGTTGCAAAAAGTGGGCGTGTGCCCCCCCAGGGGAACCCCCCGCATTTCCCACGCCCTCATCCTGCCGTGCCCACGCCCCCCCCCTCAATCCCCTCCCCCCCCATTTTTTTTTTTTTTTTTTTTTTTATTTTTTTTTCCCCAACCCCCCCCCCCCCTCCCCAAAGCAGGAAGGAAGCGGTGGGGGCGGGCCGGGGCTCGGCGGCGGGAGGAGGAAAGTTTTTTTTTTGTGTGTGTGTCGGGAGCTCTCGGACCGTCCTGCTACGGGGGGGTGCGCAGCGCAGCCCCCTCCCCACCAAACCAGCGCCATGCCCCGGGGTGAGTCCTATGGGAAATTGGGGGGGAGGGCGTGGGGGCGGCACCCCCCCGGACCCCCCGGCATCCAGGACCCCCCGGCGCCCCCGTACGGGGGCGCCGGGGGGTCCTGGATACCGGGGGTCCGGGGGGGTGCCGCCGCTTTGCGCCCCCTTTGCGCCCCCTTTGCGCATCCCGCTGGGGGGCACCCTTGGGTGCTGCCGCTCGCCCCCCGCCCCAGGTCCCGGGGGGTGCTGGAGACCCCAAAGAGGAGCCCCCAGCCCCCTCGCCGGGGACGCTGTGGCGCACGGGGGGGGTTTTGGGGGGGTCTTGGAGGGCTGCAGAGCCCCCACATACCCCAAAAGGGTCGGGGAGGCGTCCCAAGGATCCCCATCCATCCCATCCCCCCGCCATCTAACCCCATCACATCAACCATCCCTAATCCCATGCCCTCTCATCCCATGCCCATCCATGCCTCCATCCCAGCACCATCCATACATCCCCAGCCCCATCCCACATCCAATCCCATCCCCATCCCCATCCCATCCCTCATCCCCATCCACCCATCCAACCCCATCCCCATCCCATCCCCATCCCATCCATCTCCCATCCCACCCATCCCCATCCCCCATCCCATCCCCATCCATCCCTCATCATCCCCATCCCACCCCATAACTGTCCCCGCATCCCTGTCCCCAAATGCCCCCCCGGTGTCTGTGTGATGTTTGCTGTTCAAATAACCCCAAACACACCGGGGGGAGCAGGGTCTGGACCCCCCCTTGGGCTGCGCTCGGGGCCGTGTGGGAAGCGCCAGGAGCAGGATGAGGAAATGGCTCGGGCAGGGCCTGCAGCCCTAAAGCAAAGCGAGGGAAACCGAAAATCCTTTTTCTCAGCACTGAGGGTGTTGGGGTTACAGCAGCGGGGCCGGGCCCCCCCCCCCGAAATGTGGGGGAGCTTTGGGGAGGTTCCCACGGAGCTGGGCCCCGGCAGTGATCGCCCCACAGCTCGGCTCCTGCTCCGTGTTTTTGGGTTTTGATGAGTTTCCTCTTTTTGTAGTTGGGGTGGGGGCCGCACCGCGCTGCTCTGTGGGGCTGGCAGGGGGGCAGCCCCATGGGACGATGCGCACGGGGACAACGGGGACAGCGCCCCGCAGACCCAAACTGGGGACAGTGGCATTGAGGAAGGGGCTGCTGGGGGGTGCGGGGCGCTCTGCCTGTCCCCCGACAGCACCTATGGGTGCTGCAGGGTCAGGGAGCCCCCTCCAGGAGCCCCCTCCCCAGGGGCACCCCACAAAGTTACGGTTCAGAGTGGGGTCCCCTTGGCACAGCGGCCGGGGGCACCCCGCTGTGGTGTCCGGCTGTCCCAGACAGGGTCCCTGCCGTGGGGAGGACCCCGGGGAGAGGTGGGCAGGGTGCGTGTACGGTCGTGCCCCGGGTAGGGTGTGGGGTCAGGCAGGGGCCTGTGCGCTGTGGGGTGCGCGCTGTGGGGCGCACGGTGCGTGCCGTGGGGCGCAGCAGGGATTGCGGCTGTGGGGCGCACGCTGTGGGGCACGGCGGGGCTGTGCAGGTGGCAGCGTGGGTGGGGGCTGCGTGGGTGGGTGGGTGCAGGGTGTGGGGTGTGGGGTGTGGGGTGTGGGGTGTGGGGTGCAGTGCTGGGCTCTGTGGGGCCGTGCCGGGTCCCCGTGCGCCGGCTGCGCTCCCCCAGCGGAAAAACCCCACGGGGGGGGCCGGGGGTGCCCCGGCTGCGAGGGATGGAGGGAAGGGATTTTTGCTTCCCCTTTCTGCCCAAGCCCAGGATGAGTCGTTTCTCCCATCCCGGCGGGGGATGAATCACCCCCAGACCCCGCAGTCCCCCCCCCGGCACCCCACAGCCCGGCCGCGGAGGCCCTGGTGGTGCCGAGCCCCCGCCGTGTCCCTGCTCTTCCTCTTCCTCTTCCTCTTCCTCCCCCAGTTTCCCCTCCTCCTGCCGGGCTGGGGCTTTGTGGCCCCATGGGGCCGGGGCGGGGGTGTGGGGCCGGGCTGTGGGGCAGGGAAGGGGCCCCTCTTGCCACCCCCTGCCCCTCGTCCCCAGGTTGCGCACGAGGGCGCTTCCCAAAGCCCCCTGCACCTCGTCTGCCCCATCCCATTGCCCCTGGAGCCCCCAGCAGGGTCTGTGACCCCAGGGCTGAGCAGAAATGGGGTGATCCCACCCCAAATGGGGTGATCCCACACCTAAATGGGGTGATCTTGCACCTAAATAGGGCGATCCCGTACCCAAATGGGGTGGCCCTGCACCCATGGGGCAGAGCGTGCCCAGCCCCATCCCCAACAGCAACCGTGGCCTTTTGGGGACATCTGAGGCCAGCGTGGGGCCGGATTTGTGGGGTGTGCGCCAGTGGGGGCAGTGGGGATGCCCCAAAACCTTCCTGGTCCTCAGCACCGGGTGTCCTGGGGCCGGGGCACGGGCGCTGCCGTCCCCTAGCCCCTGTGGCACCCCGGGAAGCTGTGGGGTCACCGTGCCGTGCCCGAGGCTCCCTGTGGGGTGAGAAGGGGTTAAGGAGCTGCTGGTGGCAGTGGGGTTTGCCAGAGCTTCCCCGGAGAACAGAGCGGCCTTGTGCGGAGCGGGGCCGGGATTGGGGACACGGCTGGGGCCGGGTGGCCCCGGGCACCCCCGGGCACCGCGGGGCAGGAGCTGACGGAGCCCCGGGAGCCCGGAGGGATGCTCGGGGACCATGGGGGAGCAAGGTGCAGCCCCTGATCCCATTTGGTGTGGGGTTTTGGGGTGGTTTCATCCCTTCAAGGATGAGCTGGGGCTGGGCAGGTGCCGCGGTGCCGCCCTCGGGGAGCCCCCTGCCCGCTGCCACCGTGCCCGGGGGTGCCCTGGCTGTGTCCCTGTCCCCAGCCCTACACCCAGAGCTGGCCGTGCCCGGGGTGCCGGGGCTGTGCGGGGCCTTCACAGCCCCCGGGGGGCTGCGGGGACCCTCCCCACAGGGGCTGCCCCATGGCTTGGCCACGTTCCCTGCGGTGGTCTCGGGGGCACTGCCCCTGTGGCCTCACCGACCTTCCTGGGACAGGGACAGGGACAGGGACAGGGACAGGGACACGCATGGTTCCCATAATTGCCACCAAGCTGGGACGTGTCGGGGGGCAGCCCGGTGGTCCCAGCACCAGGAGCTGGCAGCGGTGGCACCGTCCCCGAGGCGCTGCGCAGGGAACCAGGACCCCGGCCCCGCTGCTGCAGCCTCCCCCCCGCGCCCCCGCCGGCTCCTGCCCCTGCCCCTGCCCCTGCCCCTGCCCGTTTGTTCTCCTGCCAGCATTGTCCTCGGGCTCCGGCCGCTCTTCCCGCCCGTGTCCATCCCCTGGGGATTTATGGACTTCCTTGCGCCCCCCCGGCCGCTCTCCGGGTGGGTGTCCCCGGCCCCGTGCTGGGCAGAGCCCCCCTAGGTCCCCCCCTGGGCACCCCCAGCCCGGCTGAGCCTGGTGCCGTGGGGTCCCGTGGGGTCCCGTGGGGTCCTTTGGGGTCCCGGGAAGGCAGCGGGGCAGGGGGCACCCCAGGGGTCTCCCCCCAGTGCTGCCCCCCCTGTGCGTCCCTGCAGCCCCCACCCCGGGCAGGTCTGCCCCAAACCTGCTCCTGGTCCCGTTCCCCTCACCCCATCCCACTGCCCGGCCCCGTGCTGCTGCTCCAGCCCCTGCCCAGGCCCTGCTGTGTTTCTGCCCCCCCAAAACCCCCCCGGGGCTGCTGTGAGGCTCCAGGAGAGGACCCCCCCCCGCAGCCACCCGCCCGCAGCCGCGCGGGGAGGAAGACGAGGCCGGGGCTCGCTCACGGGGGATCCCAAATGGCTCCTGCATGGGGTGGGGGACGTGGTGGCCGCCCCCCCCCCCGCCCAGCACCCACACCCTGGGGAGCTCCCTAAAGCTTTGGGGTGGGGGGCGCGGGGCCTGGGCCTAGGGCCAGGCAGGGCGGGGGGCACCGCGCAGCCGCCCCCGCGGGCAGGAAGCCGGTGTCAGCGCGGGAAGAGGAAGAGCGACTTCCCCATGGGGGGCAGGGGGCACGGCCCCGTTGCCTTTGCCCCAGCCGTGCTCACCCCCCCGGAACCCCCCCGGGACCCCCCACCCAGCCACCAGGCAGTGGGGCAGTGTCCCCTGTCCCCCCCGTTCCTTGTGGCCATGCCCCCGCTCCCTCCCCATGGTGCCGGCACCGCACGTGAGCCCCGCGTGAGCCTCGGTCCCCGACCGAGATAAATCCTCCCCCCGGCAGCCCTTGGGGTCCTCGTCCCCACTGATAGCGGGACCCTGCCCCCGGGAAGGGGGCTGCCGGCCCCCCGGCCCTGCAGGAAGGGCAGCAGGATGGGCAGCAGGATGCGGCCCTGATGGGAATCGCAGAGGGAGCCGGAGGAAGGCGAACAGGGAAACGTGCGCCGGGGCTGGGGATAAACACAGCTGCTGGGGCTGGCGGTGGTCTTACAGCGGGGCTGGGGGCACGGCACGGCACGGCTTGGCATGGCACGGCATGGCATGGCATGGCACGGCACGGCATGGCACGGCACGGCATGGCACGGCACGGCACGGCATGGCATGGCACAGCATGGCATGGCACGGCATGGCATGGCACAGCATGGCATGGCACGGCATGGCATGGCATGGCACAGCATGGCACGGCACGGCATGGCACGGCATGGCACGGCATGGCATGGCATGGCACAGCATGGCACGGCATGGCACGGCATGGCATGGCACGGCATGGCACGGCATGGCACGGCATGGCATGGCACAGCATGGCACGGCATGGCACGGCATGGCACGGCATGGCATGGCATGGCACAGCATGGCACGGCATGGCATGGCATGGCATGGCACGGCACGGCACGGCATGGCACGGCACGGCATGGCACAGCAGGGCATGGCATGGCACGGCACGGCACGGCACGGCACGGCATGGCATGGCATGGCACAGCATGGCATGGCATGGCACGGCATGGCACAGCATGGCACAGCACAGCACGGCACGGCACGGCACGGCACGGCACGGCACGGCATGGCACAGCACGGCACGGCACGGCATGGCATGGCATGGCACGGCATGGCATGGCATGGCATGGCACAGCATGGCACGGCACGGCATGGCATGGCATGGCACGGCATGGCACGGCTTGGCATGGCACAGCATGGCATGGCACGGCACGGCACGGCACGGCACGGCACGGCATGGCATGGCATGGCACAGCATGGCATGGCATGGCACGGCACGGCATGGCACAGCATGGCACAGCACGGCACGGCATGGCACGGCACGGCATGGCACGGCTTGGCATGGCACGGCATGGCATGGCACGGCACGGGGCGCTGCAGCACCCTGTGGAGGATGCGCTCCCCGGTGGCACATTTATCCCGTGCCATTGGGGGACACGGTTCCCCTTTGGGGTCTCTGAGCACCGCGGGGGCTGCCGGCTGTGCCCCGTGGCCCCGCTCCCTGACCCCTTTTTCTCCCCCCCCCTGCAGGTTGCTGAGGGCCGACACGGGGGACGCCGAGGCCAGCGGGATGCAGAGCATCAAGTGCGTGGTGGTGGGCGACGGGGCGGTGGGGAAGACCTGCCTCCTCATCTGCTACACCACCAACGCCTTCCCCAAGGAGTACATCCCCACCGTCTTCGACAACTACAGCGCCCAGAACACGGTGGACGGCAGGACTATTAACTTAAACCTCTGGGACACGGCCGGCCAGGAGGAGTACGACCGCCTGCGGACGCTTTCCTACCCCCAGACCAACGTCTTCATCATCTGCTTCTCCATCGCCAGCCCGCCCTCCTACGAGAACGTCAAGCACAAGTGGTACCCCGAGGTGTGCCACCACTGCCCCAGCGTGCCCATCCTGCTGGTGGGCACCAAGAAGGATCTGAGGAACAACCCCGAGACCATGAAGAAGCTCAAGGAGCAGAACCAGGCGCCCATCACCACCCAGCAGGGGATCAGCCTCTCCAAGCAGATCCACGCCGTCAAGTACCTGGAGTGCTCCGCGCTCAACCAGGAGGGCATCAAGGATGTCTTCACGGAGGCGGTGCGAGCCGTGCTCAACCCCACCCCGGCCAAGCCCAAGAAGCCCTGCGTCCTCTTGTGAGGGGCAGCCCGGGGGCAGCGCCAGCACAGCCAGAGACGCTCCTGCCCCGGCCCCGCCGCTCCCCGGGCGCTGCCCAGCGCCGCAGGACCCTGCCAGCATCCCCCCGCTGCCCCCGGCTCCGAGCACCCCCGGCTCTGAGCTCCCCAGATCTGAGCACCCCCAGCTCCGAGCACCCTGGCTCCGAGCACCCCAGATCTGAGCACCCCCAGCTCCAAGCACCCCAGATCTTAGCACCAACAGCTCTGAGCACCCTGGCTCCGAGCACCCCCAGCTCTGAGCCCACCCGTCTCCAAATACCCCTGGCTCCGAGCACCCCGGCTCAGAGCACCTCCAGCTCCTTCCAAACACCCCCAGCTCTGAGCCCACCCGTCTCCAAATACCCCTGGCTCCGAGCACCCCGGCTCAGAGCACCTCCAGCTCCTTCCAAACACCCCCAGCTCTGAGCCCACCCGTCTCCAAATACCCCTGGCTCTGAGCACCCTGGCTCCGAGCACCCCCAGCTCCAAGCTCCCCCCAGATCTGAGCACCCCCAGCTCCAAGCACCCCGGCTCCGAGCACCCCCAACTCCTTCCAGACACCCCCAGCTCCGAGCACCCCCAGCTCCAGGCTCGCTGCCTCCCGTGGTGCTCAGCAGGGCCGAGGGCTGCCCCGAGCTGTCACAGCCCGAGCGGCACCGAGCACCCTGCACTACCTGCCCCGGGGCCGGCCGGGCTCCCTGCTGCCCCCCCGGGGGTCCTGCACCCCCTCCGGCCCCGTCCTCATCCCTGGCTGCCAGCGTTCGCTTTCGGGTGACACCTCTGCAGTGCCGGCACAGAGCAACGCTTCCTGAGAAGGGGATGCCCGGGGGAGCTGCACCCCCCCTGGCTCCTGCCTGGGCACCCAGCCCCACGGGGACCCCACGGGTGCCCAGGGTCCGTCCTGCTTGGGGGGTCCCGGGGTGGGCTCAGCATCGCCGCTCCCTGCGCCCAGCACCGGCCCCGGCGAGAGCGGAGCTGGGGAGGCCCTGGGGAGGGTTTTGTCCCCCCCCCCCAGGACCCCGGTGATGAAGAACTGCAAATGGCAATGGGACCTGCCTGCCACGAGCCCCTCGCCGAGTTGCTTTTCTGTGAATAAAACCAGCCCTGCCCAGGCCCCCGCGCCTCCTGTGCTCTCCTGTGCGCTCCCAGCACCCCTGGAGCCGCCTGCTGGGGGGGGACGCAGGCGCTGGCCCCAAAACCTGGGGCGTCCTGGGGGTGCTCCTGGGCTGGGGGGAGCCTGGGGTACCCCGCTGTGGCCGGGCCTGCACCCCAGGACCCACACAGGGACAGCGCTGGGGTCTTCTGCGGGGCCATGGGGACATGGCCGGGGTGGGCACAGGGACACGGGATGGGGACATGGCAGGGCACGGGGACGGGGGCACTGCAAATGATGGGTGAGGGGACACCGCACAGAACCCCAGCCTGCTTTGGGTTGGAAGGGACCTCAAAGCCCCCCCAGTCCCACCCCCCTGCCCCCAGCCCCAGCTGCCCAAAGCCCCATTCACCCCCTCCAAACTCAGCACCGGAGCCCCCCGCACCCGGAGCCATCCCTGGGGGTGCTGGGGAGGGGGCTCGGGACACTGCAGCCCCTGGGGGCCAGGAGCTGCCGGTGGCCGGATCCATCCCCAGCAGGGCCCCGGCACACACGGGCCCTTGTGTGGCCGTGGGGCCGCAGCCAGGCCCCGCTGCAGGAAGGGCAGAGACCCGGCGGCCCCGCACAAGCCGCCTTTGTTCCCCGCCAGCTTCCTCGGCAGATCTGGGGGGGCCCCGGGGGCCTGGCGTGGGCGACGGTGCCCACAAGGCTGGGGGGGTGCCCATGGCCCCATCCTGTGCCGAGGGCACGTGCTGGCCGCCAGCCTCGCCGCAGCCCCTTGGGGATGGTGCAAAGACCCCCCAAACCTCCCACACCCCACAGAGCCCCCCAGGCACTCTGTGGGTGCCCCACACACCCCGTCCCCATGTCCCCAGGGTGCTGCCCCCACGGGGACCCCAGGGCCGCAGCGGGGGGCTCCCTGGAGCTGCTGGGGCAGGGTCTGGCCATGGGGACCCCCGGAGGGGTCAGGGGGAGCGGGGCTGGGACGGGGCAGGGACCCGGGGCAGGACGCGGAGCTGCAGCGGGACGCGGCCCTGCCCTGGCCCTGGGGCGCAGCGTGGGGATGAGCTCATGGGTTTTGGGTTTTCCCCTCCTCGTCCCCGGCCCCGCTGCTGCTGCTGCATGAGGTCAGGGCCGTGCCGAGGTGTGGGCAGCCCCGGGGGAGCCCCAGGGCGGCGCAGAGGGGAGCCGAGGGCTGGTGGCAGAGCTGCACCCCGGCCCCGCTGCCTGCACCCTGCCCTGAGCTGGATCAGCCCCACGTGGCTGTCCCACATCCCCTGCCCCATATCTCACCTCCTGTGTCCCATATCCCACCTCCCGTGCCCCATAACCCATGTTCCATGCCCCATATCTCACCTCCCGTGCCCCATATCCCAGCTCCCCTGCCCCATATCCTACATTCCGTGTCCCATATCCCATGTCCAGTGCCCCATATCTGATGTCCCCTGCCCCATATCCCACGTCCCCCACCCCGTGACCGCCCAGCCCAGCCCTGCAGCATCTGCATCACATCAGGCCCCCGGGGCCGGGCGGGGAGCGGAGCCTCCAGCTGCAGGAGGTCCCTGCCAGCAGCTCCCCCCCACCCCGCGCCCCACCAGGGCTGCCCAGAGCATCCATCCCGCACCCCAATCCACATCCTGCACCCAGCCCCAGCCCCACATCGCCTTGGGGTCCTGGGGGTGGTGGGGTGCCAGGGCTGTGCCAGGGCTGTGCCGGGGGCTTTGGCACTTGCCTGTCCCCAAACAGCCGTGCCAACGTCCACGCAGGCACCGGAGCAGCTCCTGGCACAGCTGCAGGGAGCAGAGCCCCCAGCCCGCCCCGGATGCAGGCGATGGATCTGGAGGTGAGGAGGAAGAGGAGGAGGAGGAGGGAGGGCAGTGAGGAGGCAGAGAGCTCACAAAAATATTCAGTGCTTTATTTCATCCTCCAAACCAAGAGAACACGCTGCTGGGAGGCGCCACGCCACGCGCATGCAGGCGGAGGGATGGGTGGAACCCGGTGCAGGGCACGCACGGGTGGAGATGTTTAAGGGGCTGCCCAGCCCCACTGGGACCCCCACTGGGGCCCCTCCAGCTCAGCCCGGGCAGCTTTGCCCCACAGCAGCACCAAGGGGCCTGGATCAGCCCCAGCCCCTGCAGCCGGTGCCCAGCTCTGCCCCAGCCCCGCAGCGAACTGCCCGAGGGGTTCACCCCGCTCAGTTCTGGGGGTGAGAGACACGGGGTGGGGGCTCCCCTAAGCCTCGCAGCCCCCTCTGGGCCATGAGCCCTTGTTGATGTTGGCCAAGGGTCCCCTGACAAAGTTCCCCCAGCCTGGAGGAGAAACCGTGAGGCCACCCAGCTGCAGTGGGGGCAGGAAAGGACCCTCCGAAGAACCAGGCAGCAGCCGCCCGACCCCTCGCCCGCCCCCCTCCTGGGTCCCAAAACCAGCAGGGAGCTGGGACAGGGAGCCTTGGCCATGCAGGTCCCCGCGCCCCCCGTGTCTGAGAGCTCTGGCCACGGGCAGGGACCACGCAGAGCACCAAGGCTGGGAGCCAGGACACGGAGATGTCTCCAGTGCCACGGAGGGCAGGGGCTCGGCTTCATGTCCCACCACGGGGCCAGCGCCTCTGCAGGACAGCCCCGGCTACCGGCAGGCACAAACCCCTCGCCCCCAGCCCCGCCGGGCAGGGGCTGCTCACTGCACCCAGGGCCCGGCTAGAAGTGCTTGTCTTCCAGCATGGAGCTCACCACCAGCTCCTTGTTGCTGAAGTCCCAGAAGGCAGTCATGTGGAAGGCCATGTTGGAGAGGACAACCAGGTACTCCAGGAAAGCGAAGATGGTGTAAACTGGCAGGGGAAACGCAGCAGGTTAGTGGGATGCCTCACGTGCCGCACGGCAGCCCGATTTGCCCCCAGGCACCGTCCCGCGTGGGGGCTCTGCTGCTCCGAGCCAGGGTGACCCCAACCCCTTCCCCACACCCCGGCACCGCCGAGCGGCACAGAGCGCAGCTGGCACGTCCGTACCTCCGGGCCCGCAGTACCAGTTGTGGTGGAAGTAGACGCACACGGCAAAGGCGAAGGTGATGAAGGTGAAGAAGAAGAGCAGCTGCTTCCACTTGTACGACTTGCGCTCCTGGAAGAGACCGAGGGCACCTGCTCACAGCCTGGCCGCCCGCACGGCCCCAGTGCTGGATCCGGCCCCGTCACGGCGCACGCGGCACCGCGGGGACATGGGCAGCACCACACCGTGCCCTGGCACTGCCGGCGATTTGGGGATGGTTCCCACAGCAGAGCTCACGCTGGCACCCAGGGAAGGGGCAACGGCACAACCAGACTTGGATCCTCCAGCCCCGGGAGCGGGGAATTCACCAGCGTGGGCAGCCGGTGCCGCGTGGGAGGCACCACAGCAGGGCTCGGGCACGCGTCCCTGGTGAGCACCAGCATCGGGGTGGGACCCAGGCGGAGGACACGGGGATGCCACCCACGGCCCCCCGGGCCGCCCTGGTTGTTATTCCTGCTGCTGAGTGGGAGGGGAATTTTCCTCTCGCCTGATGTTTCACGTGAAGCAAAAACTCCATTTTCAGGGACCGCTGAGAATGAGGAAAATTTAAATTGCCCCATCACACTTTCCATTACCCCACCGAAAGCGCGCCTGCAGGCTCAGCCCCGCCGCCCCGAGCACAAACAGGTTGCGGCGGGGAGGAAAACCCAGAGAGGAAGGGCGGCCTCGCGGTTACGTTTGCCATCTGGGGGCTCGGGGAGCTGAGCCCGGAGCTCCCCGATTCACCACGGCCGCTCTCCTTGTGCTGACCCACAAAGGGCGAGGGGCTGGGGGAGCGCTGGGGGTGCGGGGCGGTGCCAGCTGGTGGCAGGGCAGCGGCAGCACGCGGGGCCGTGGCTGCGTTATGCAAAGTTTCGCAGCGGAAAAGCGGGGTCACGGCACAGCCCTGTTTTCATCCAGGTCCCACGGCAGCGGAAGCAGCCGCACGCCGCAGGCAGCGGTGGAGCCCCGCTCGTCACAGCAAGGTGAGCGGCAGCGCCACGCTCCTGGCTCCTGCGCTCTGCACCGCGCCCCGCGGCACCACAGCATGCAGAGCTGCACCACAGCACGTCGAGCTGCACCACGTCGTGCCGAGCTGCGCCCTGTGGTGCTGCATCAAGCTGGACGGCACGCCGGGATGCTCTGCAGTGTGCTGCGCCTCGTGGCACCGTGCTGTGCTGCATGGCAGCACGTGGCACCTCATCACACCTCGTGGCACCACAACACACCTCATGGCACTGTGCTGCTCCTTGTGACACCGTGGTGCTCTGCTCCGTGCCATACCTCATGGCACCATGCTGCACTGCATGGCAGCACACGGCACCACACTGCACCTTGTGGCACTGTCCTGCACTTCATGGCAGCACGTGGCATTGCACCACACCTCGTGGCACCACACTGCACCTCGTGGCACCGTGCTGCACGGCTTTGCTGCGCTGCCCTGCACCACGTCCAGTGCAGTGCCCTGCAGCTGGCGGTGCCGTGCTGCACCCCATGGCACCACGCAGCTCTGAGCTCCTCCACCTTCATGCAGTGCGTCACGCAGCACCTCCCCCTGCCCCTGACAGCTCCATGCCCCCAGCCCCAGACAAGCCCTGCATGAAGCCGCTGCGTGCAGCAGGGTCACGGCGCTGCCAGGTTCCTGCAAGTGCCCCCAGGACTTGGTGGCCAAGAGCTGGGATGGGAACGGCGCAGAGCTGTGGGGAATGGGGCCGAGCTGCGCGTGCCCTGGCACCGAGGATTAATTCTGCCCCGGGCAGCACCTAATGAGCTGTTTTCCTCTCTAATCCTTCCTCGGGATGGGCTCAGCCCAGAGTCTCACCCCGCTGCTGCCGGGAAAAGCCGAGCTAAGCCGCGGGGCAGATGGCTGTGCAGGGTGGGGGGGGCGCAGGCAGCGCCAGGGGTGGCGCAGGGGCTTTTGTGCTTCCCGGTGGATGCAGCCCCCGACCCCTCACGCTGCTCCTCATGCACACAGCCCCCCCAGGCAGCCCCGCTGCGCTGGGACACGCGTCTGGCCCCGCAAACCACAGGCACGTTATATTTAGAGCCGCCGCTTGCAGGCTCTGCGCTGCAGCACGCTGCCCCGTGCACGCGGAGGTGAGTCAGGAGCAGGAGGCAGACGGCGGGGGACAGGAGGACAAAACGCCACCAGAGCTGCAGCCACCAGCACGGAGGGGCCTGGCCCCGTGCCCTGCGCCCCGTGCGGAGCCCACGGACAGCCCCCAGCCGCCCCTTCCCCTGGGGAGAGCCCTGCACCATGAGCCCTGGCTACCAGGATGCAGGATGGCAACAAGGAGGCTCCTCCACCACCTCCAGGGAAGGTCCCTGCGGGTTTTTTAGGGTTAGGGTTTATGTCCCAGTGCCCCAAGGGACGTGCCACAGGAGGGCACAGGTGGCTGCGTTCAGAGCACCCCACGCACAGCCCCAGCCGCACCCCACGCAGGGGGCTCGGGCTTTCCAGAGCCCCCCTGTGCGCTGGGAGCCCTTCCCGGGGGGCTACGTGCTGCACCCCAACCCAGCTCACCCCCAGAGCACTTCTGGCTTCCCCTGCGGTGAGCGCGGAGCCGAGCGGCTCCAGCGGGGCGAGCTGAGCACCGGGATATTTATAGCGGCCTTGTGCGAGCCACCGCCGCGGGGCTACTGGCGAGGAGCTGGGCTGAAACCACGCGTGCTCACGGGTCCTGCTCACAGCTCAGCTCCTGAGGGGCTGGTGGCTCGGCACGGCTCGGCACGGCTCGGCACAGGGGCATGGCACAGAGGGACAGCGCGGCACAGCCCCAGCGCCCGGCCACCGCGCGCGTGCATGCGTGTCTCCGGGCCGGGGCGCAGACGAGGGTGACGCCAGCTGCCGGGGAAGAGGAGCAATGTGTTTGCAAACAAGAAGTGAAACCCGGCTGCCTGGCTGCGCCGCCCCCCGTGGCACGGGGCTGCGGGGGCCTGCAGCTGGCCCGGAGCTGGGGCTGAGCTGGGGAGCACCAGCAGCGACGTGCGCAGGGCTCAGCGCCGAGCTCTGCCCGCCCTGCCCCGTGCTGGGGGCTCGCTGTGTTCCTTCCCCCCCCGAGCTCCCGTTTGTTGCCCCTTCCCCTCCTCCTCCCTGCCCGATTTCCTTTCCCCCCCCCTCCTGCAGAGCTTTATTTTCCTTTCTCTGGCTCTCTGCAGCTGGAAGCCGTGCGCACTTCCCCATTAGCAGCAAGTTCCCCAGCACCTTCCTGCCCTTGCAGTTGCAACACCAGCCCTGGGGAGCGCGAGGCTTTTGCAACCCCGGTTCCTGTCACACACGTGCTCACGCCGAAACCCCAGCGCAGCCCGGCAGCTTCGGGGCCTCCAAAGGGCCCCGGTGACCCCGTGCTGTGGCTCTGCGCCCTCCTGCGGGACGGGACAGGTCAGGAACCCAGCCCAAAACGGCCCCGGGTGCAGCCCTGGCAAACCCAAGCTGGGTCGGGGAGCTCTGGTGGCCGTGGCACGGGGCAGCCCTGCAGAACTGCCCCAAATTCGCCCACTCCTGGGGGCTGTTGGAAGTTCCCCCAAGGACCCCACGACTTTGGGGTGCAGGCGCTGCTCCTGCTGCAGGGCTGGGGGCTGGCAGAGGTGACCAAATCACCCCACAACCCACGTGAAACGAGCCGGAGCCTGGCCCCGAGGCAGCACCAGGGCCGTTCCCAGACAGCCCTGGCTTCCCCTGCGAGCAGACACAGCCCGTGCTCTCCCCTAAAATAACCCCACAAGGTTCCCAGCTCAGCAATCCGCCCAGCTCAGCAGCTGCCACACTTCTCCCTGCCGGGCCGGGCAGTTCCCACCGGCACTGGCCAGGAGGATGTGGCACCGCAGCAGCCCCCGGCACGGCCCCGTGCCCCCCTTGTGGCCCCGAGCACAGCCCCCAGACCCACATTGGGGCCATGGGATGAGCCCAGGGGACTCGAGCAGCAGGACAAACCCCAATTTTGCCTGGCCCAGAGATGAGGGAGGACACAGGAGCACGTCTCACAGCAGCACCTCCAGCCCGGCTGCGTTTTGGGGGTGCTGATGGGGCACCAGAGCCGCCCTGCGGAGGGGCAGCTCCCTGGGGAGGCCTCCCCCGGCCACGGGGTCCGTCCTGGTCCCGCTGCTTCCAGAAGGGTTTATTTAACGTGGGAGCTTTTCCGTCGCACACGCACTTTCTTTTTCAGAGGACCTCGCTCCCCGGGCGACAGCACCATCTGCTGACAGGCGGCCCCATCGGAACCAGCCTGGGCTTGGGGCCAGGTTTCCTGGGGTTCTGCCCCTGCACCCACAGCTCTGGGGCAGGTTGGGCACCTCGTGCTAAGCTCCGAGTCCTGTCCTGCCCAGGCTGAGAGTGTGGGGGCCTCCCACAACCAACCCAGAGCCGCTGGGTGCTGCCCCACAGCGCTCGGGCAGCTCCTCTCCACCCCAGGATGGCTGAGGCTGGGGCACCTCCAGGTCCCCCTGCTCCAAGCCCTGCTCCCCACGTGGGTGCTCCCCGTTCCCAGCCCCTTCACCGATGGGATGTGGGGGCACAGACATGTGGGGAGGGCTCTGGGCAGAAAGGAGACCCCCTGCTCGCCGTGCCAGCCTCCTGGCATGGAGAGGAACGGCCCCGGGGTGACACAGCCGGGGGACACCCTGCAGACGGCAGCGGGGCACCTGGGGCTGCCACCAGGACTTTGGTCCCCACGTTTCCCAGCACAAAGTTCAGAGCCACCCCAGGGATCAGCAGGACGAGCCGGCTGCCTGCTGGCAGCTCGCTCGCCCTCATCCTCCTGCAGCAGCACTGCCATGAGGCAGGGACAGGAGGGACAGCAGCGCCCTGCCCGCTGCGGCACGGCCACCAGCTGTGCCAAAAGGCAGCGGGGGTGTGCTCCAGCGTGGCACGGGAACGGCCACCGGGCTCACAGCATGCACCAAAATTGGTGTTTCTGCAAGCAAACAGCAGGATGAGTGCTGCTGCTGGTGCACCATGAGCTGGGCTTGGTGCCACGGAGCTGTAATGCCCACGGGCACACGGCACCCCCTCGGCACGTGCTGCTCGGGGAGCCCTCATCTGAGCTGCAGGACTGCGAGGGAGAGGTGCAGGGGGTGCAAAAACAAGGAAAGCAAAAAAAAAGTAATGAAATAGAGGAGGCTACTGGGAAATTGAGGGGCGATTTCCGCACGCCTGCTGTTCCCTTTGTGGTTTGTTTGGGTAAATTGGACCAAATCGTGGAGTTTGGCGACCACCTGTCCTCCAGCCCCTCTTTGTTTGGGTAAATTGGACCAAATTGCAGATTTTGGTGACCGCCTGTCCTCCAGCCCCTCTCACTCCAACATTGTGGGATTTCCCACCCCGTTGGGGTTATTTGGAAGCGAGGTAGAGGTGCAGCCCTGCCACCGCCAGCCGAGAGCCCCGGCCCCGAGCAGAGAAGAAAGGAAAAGTGCCTGTACCTCGGGACTTACTGTGTGTTTCTTAGTCATCCTCCAGAGGATGCACGTCAGCAGCATGTGGCCCAGGGCCGACGTGATGAAGACGATGAAGGCATTTTCGTGGATTGCTGAATCAAGGAGACAACGGGGTTCCCGTTACAGCCGGGCAGGGAAGTGAGCTGGGAGCACAGGGGGAAGGGACAGGATTTGGGACAGCCCCGGGGATGCTGTGCCAGGGCACGGAGCCCTCACGGCACCACGCCAGCCGTGCAGAGCAGGGGGAGGGAGAGCCCAGCTACCCCAGGTGACTTTTTAAAGAAGTGTTAAAAAAAATAAATAAAAAGTTTCCCAGCCTTTTCTCCAGGAACCGAGCCCACCGGCTGAGCTCACAGCCGGGACCCCCAGCCATAAAGCAGCTCCCCCCATTTCCCTCTCACCCCAGGGGACGGGGAGCAGCGGGGGGAAGGAGCCCTTGGAGGTGGCCAAGCCCCTGCCCTCCTCCTCCAAATCTGAAGCTCTCCCCTGAGGAGCTGTGAGGCTGGGCTGGCCTCAGCTTTCGGCTTCCTGCTGAAAGCCCAGGTTAAGCCGGTTTCAGATTCGTTTCTGCTCAGACCGTGTGAGGAAAAAAAAGGAGTTTTCCTTTCCCTCCCCTTCCCGAGCGGTGTTTCCTAAGCCCAGCACGGTCCCGTTTTGTGCTGATTCAACCCGAAAGGTTCTGGGTTTTGCCCTGAGGCTGACTCGGGGAGTTTCGCCCAGGCATTTTTTGGTGGGAGGGTGCTGGAAGTGCTGCTACAAGAAATTCGGGTGTGGAGGCAGCTGGGAGCAGCAGCAGGCGTCGGCCTCTCCCTGCTCAGCCGTGACGAGAAGCACCCAGCAGCACCAAAAACCCAGCCTGTGCTGGGTGCCACGCATCAACCCCCAAAATTTCGGGAAGAACAGGGCTCTCTGAGTGCTGGGGGTAACCTCCACATCCCAACCCCGACATTTAGGGGTCCTCCTTGCTCTCCCACCCCCGTTTCTCCAAGACACCGGCCTGCGGAGCGCCCTGGGGACGCAAGGCCCGGCGCAAGGCCCGGGGAGGGAGGAGGAGGAGGAGGAGGAGGAGGAGGAGGAGGAGGAGGATTTGGCACCCACCGTAGTTTTCGGAGGAGGACACGTAGGTGAGCAGCAGCAGGGCGAAGTTCTCCAGCAGGCTGAGCAGCAGGTTGAGGTGGCAGAGGCGGGGGTAGCGGGGGTGGGGGCAGTGGCAGGCCTGGTAGTGGTTCCAGTAGGCCACGGCCACCAGGAAGCGGGGGGCGGCGTGCAGCCCGATGCACAGGCGCCAGACGTAGCGCTGGGGGGTCTCGCCCCCGATGGCCGCGCTGATGGAGGGCAGGTAGTTGGGGACCTGGGGGGGTGGGGGGGACATGGTGGCTCAGGGGGGCAGCACCCAGCCCCGTGGGGATGAAAGGACCTATAGGGTATCTATAAGGCACCTTGAAGACCCATAGGGTATGTATAAGGTACCTTAAGGACTGCTAGGGTACCTATACGGTACGTATAAGATATCTGAAGGACCTATAGGATACCTATAAGGTACCTATAAGGTACCTTAAGGACCTATAGGGTACCTATATGGTACTTATAAGGTACCTTACGGACTTATAGAGTACCTATAAGGTACCTTTAGGACCTATAGGGTACCTATATGGAACCTTAAGGTCTTATAGAGTACCTATAAGGTACCTGTAAGGTACCTTAAGGACTTAGATGGTACCTGTGAGGTACCTTAAGGACTTATAGGTTACCTATAAAGTATCTTTAAGACCTATAGGGTACCTATATTGTACCTATAAGGTACCTTAAGGCCTTACACAGTACCTATAAGGTACCTTTAGGACCTATGGTGTACCTATATAGTACCTATAAGGTATCTTAAGGACCTATAGGGTACCTATAAGGTACCTTAAGGACTTAAAGGGTACATAAAAGGTACCTTAAGGACCTACAAAATACGTGTAGGGTACCTATAAATACCTACACTTTACCTACACTATACCTACACTTTATGGGTACCTGTAGGGTACCTTAAGGACTTACAGGGTACCTATAAGGTACCTTAGGGACCTATAGGGTACTTATGAGGTACCTTAGGGACCTATAAGGTACCTATATGGTTCTTATAAGGTACCTTAAGGACTTACAGGGTACCTGTAAGGTACCTTAAGGACCTATGGTATACCTATAAGGTACCTTAAGGACTTACAGGGTACCTATAAGGTATCTTTAGGACCTATAGGGTACCTATATTGTACCTATAAGGTACCTTAAGGACTTATAGGGTACCTATAAGGTACTTTTAGGACCTATGGTATACCTATATAGTACCTATAAGGTATCTTAAGGACCTATAGGGTACCTGTGAGGTACCTTAAGGACCTATGGTGTACCTATAAGGTACCTTAAGGACTTAAAGGGCACATATAAGGTACCTTAAGGACCTATAGGGTACTTATAAGGTACCTTAAGGACCTACAAAATACGTGTAGGGTACCTATAAATACCTACACTTTACCTACACTATACCTACACTTTATGGGTACCTGTAGGGTACCCTACATACCCATAGGGTACCCATAAAGTACCTTAAGGACTTACAAGGTACCCATAAGGTACCTTAGGGACCTATAGGGTACCTATGAGGTACCTTAAGGATCTATAGGGAACCTATAGGGTACCTATATGGTTCTTATAAGGTACCTTAAGGACTTATAGGGTACCCATGAGGTACCTCAGGGACCTATAGGGTACCTGTGAGGTACCTTAGGGATCTATAGGGTGCCTATAAGGTACCTTATGGACCTATAGGGTACCTGTGAGGTACCTTATGGACCTATAGGGTGCCTGTGAGGTACCTTAGGGTACACCCAAGGTCCTGGCACAGTCCCCGCAGCCCCCCCGGGCCATGCAGCCCCCCAGGGCCATGCAGCCCCCCGGGGATCGGCGGCGCTCACCCCGCAGTGCGTGGCCGTGGTCTCCTGGAAGTGGAAGAGCAGGGACCAGGTGACGCAGAAGAGGAAGCCGAAGAGGGGGCAGCACACGGTGCCCACCGCCAGCCTGGTGAAGGGCAGGCGCAGCAGGATCCCGTCCCGGTCCAGGGGCAGCGGCACCTGCAGCATGCTGCCGGGCCTGCAGCACCGACACCGGACCCCATTACCGGCCCCCATCACCACACCCCATTACCGGCCCCCATCACCAGCCCCCCATTCCTGCATCCCCCGGTTCCTGCACCCCCGTTACTGGTTCCCATTACTGACCCCCCATTACCGCACCCCCATTACCAGCCCCCCATTACCGCACCCCCCCGTTACCATAACCCCGTTCCCACAACCCCATCACCAGCCCCCCATTACCGGTTCCCTGTTACCAGCCCCCCATTACCAGCCCCCCGTTCCTGCACCCCCCATTCCCCCACCCCAGTCACCCATTCCCATCCCCCCATTCCCGCACCCCCATTCCCACACCCCATTACCAGCCCCTCGTTACTGGTTCCCCATTACCGTCCCCCGTTATTGACCCCCCATTCCTGCACCCCCATCACCAGACCCCATTACCGGTTCCCTGTTACCAGCCCCCCGTTCCTGCACCCCCCGGTTCCCGCACCCCCGTTACTGGCCCCCCATTACCATCCCCCTGTTCCTGGCTCCCCATCACTGGCCCCTTGTCACTGCACCCCCATTCCCAGCCCCCCATTCCCACACTCCCCATTCCCGCACCCCCCTGTTCCTGGCACCCCGTTCCCATACCCCCCCGTTCCTGCACCCCTGTTACCAGCTCCCCATTACCGGACCCCCCCCATTACCATAACCTCATTCCCGCACCCCCATCACCAGACCCCATTACCAGAACCCCCCTTCCTGCACCCCCTGGTTCCCACACCCCCGTTACTGGCCCCCCATTACCCTTTACCCCTGTTCCTGGTCCCCCATTCCCACACCCCCCATTCCTGCACCCCCCATTCTGGTCCCCCCCATTCCCGCACCCCTGTTACCAGCTCCCCATTACCAGACCCCCATTATTAAACCCCATTTCCACACCCCCCATTACCAGCCCCCCATTCCTGCACCCCCCAGTTCCTGCACCCCCATTACTGGCCCCCCATTACCATTTACCCCTGTTCCCGGCCCCCCATTCCCATACCCCCCGTTCCCAGTTCCCCATCACTGCACCCCCATTCCCACCCCCCCATTCCCGGCCCCCCCATTCCCGTACCCCCACTCCCAGCCCCCCATTACCGGCTCCCCGTCCCTGCACCCCCGTTCCCGGCCCCCCCGGCCCCGTCCCCCCCATTCCTGCACCCCCGTCCCGGTCCCCCCATTCCCAGCCCCCCCCGCCCCCCATTCCCGCCCCCTCCCCCCCCCCGCACCTTTCCCCGCGCCCCCTCCGCGCCGCTCCGCTCCCGGCCCCGCCCCTTTCTGAGGCCCCGCCCCCTCCTCTCTCTGATTGGTCCACCCCGGCACAAGCCCCGCCCCCTCCTCCTCAGGCCGTGGCGCAGCGCTGCGGGGGGGGTGTTCTGGACCCTTCCGCGGCGCCGGCCCCGCCCCTTGTCGGCGCGAGCCAATCACCGCTGGGGAGGGGGGAGGGCGCGCGGGCGGCTCCTCGACCAATCAAATCGAGCCCCCGCCCCTTTCCCTCGGGGGGGCGCCCGGCTTTGGACCAATCGGCGGCGGGCGCGCGGGGGGGGGGCGGGGCCGGCCGATGGAGCGCGGCGCGGGGGCTGCTGGGAGGCGCGCGCGCGGAGCGGGCTGTGACGCAGCTTCCTCCCTGCGGGGCCTCCCTCCTCCGGCGGGCGGCGGCGGCGGCGCGGAGAGGCCTGGGCGGGCCCGGCCCCTCCCGGCGGTGAGCGGGGGAACCGGGGGGGGCAGGGGGGGCTCCGGGGGGAACCGGGGGACGGGGGGGGCTGGGGGCCTGGGGGCCGCCAGGGGCCTGGGGGGGCTGAGCGGGGCCTGGGGGGGCCTGAGCGGGACCTGGGGGGGGGCAGGGGGCTGAGGGGGCCGCGTTCAGGGCCTAGGGGTGCTGGGCTGGGGGTAATGAGGTGGCGTTAATTAGCTGGGGGTAATTAGCTAGCAGTTAATTAACGGGTTAATTAACTGGGGTTAATGGCGTGGTGAGGGTCCGCCGTGGGATTGGGGTTGGGCTCTGGGGGGGCAGCGAGGCCCTGGGGGGGGTGTGAGGGGCCCGCAGCCCCCGGCCCAGGCCTGCCCAGGGGGGCTCGGGGCAGCCCCATCGCGGGGGGGGGGGCGTGTGGCGGGGCCTCGTTTGCCCCCAGCCGACTCGTGGTGCTCAGAGTTTGGTGTTTGGCGGCTGACAGCGCTGGGGAGGTGCTGGCTGCCGAAATGCTGGGGTTTGGGGGAGCCCAAAGTACTGGGGAGTGGTCGTGCGAGAGTTCAGCGCCTTGTTATGGAACGGAGCTACCCCGGCGTGGCTCGCAACGCGTTGTAAACACGATCGAGCCTCGCGCTTTGCTGTGGGGGAAACCCGCCAGGGTTTCCCTGCCCCCTCCTAGCCAGTCCTGCTGTCACTGAAAGACTTTTCCGATGTCACAGTGGTGCTGCCAGTGACGGAATAATGGTTACCCCCTACGGAAAGGGGCTACAGGTTTCTATCTGCTGGAGCACAACTGCTGTGATTTCATTTTGGCTCTGTTTTTTTATGAAAAAGGTCTGGCATCGTGTTTGTACATGCAGGAAAGGTTGGAGTGGTTGTTAGACACTGGAACAGGCTGCCCAGGGAAGTGGAGTCACCATCCCTGGAAGTCTTTAAAAGACGTTTAGATGTAGAGCTTAGGGATATGGTTTAGTGGGGACTGTTAGTGTTAGGTCAGAGGTTGGACTCGATGATCTTGAGGTCTCTTCCAACCTAGAAATTCTGTGATTCTGTGTGAGTGTGGTGGTGTTACCAAACGTATTTGTAAATAAGCAGCAGGTGCAGTGCGGGAGGATGGGGAGTTAGCTCCCCGGTGGGCAGCTAACTGAGAGACCTGTTCAGGAATTTCAGGCAGTCTCAGTGCAGCCCAGTGAGCAGTAAAAGGGAAGCTGAGGGAAGCTGTGTTCCTGTAGCTCTCGTGCAGGGCATTTCCACTTGGTGCTGTGAGTGGAGGAGCTGGGAGGTAGGGCTGAAAGGGCAGCTCCTTAGGGAAACCTTGGTGCCCGCAGTGCAGCCCCTGTGCGTGTTTGACAGAGGCTGTTTGATGGGGTGGGCTGCCAGGCCTGCAGAGGACCGAGCAAAATCATGTGCGAGTTGCCTGGTGCAGGTCAGATAGAGTGGGAATGTGGGGATTGCTGTTCCTGATAGGTGCAGGAGGGTTTTGGTGGGAGCACAGCTTCATTTGTTAGTTACTTCAGCAGGTAACACGTGCATGAAATGTAGTGAAGGACAGAGGGAAGCGTGCTGCTGAGCTATTGGTGTTGTGTCTCCTAGGGCTCTGACTGTTTTAAACTCAGTGTGACAGAAGTCATGCCTTCACATGTCTAGGGGCTTGAGTATTCAAATTATTTGCTGACATCAATAGCGAGGAAAATGAAAAATGGGTTTTCACAGTAAGCTTTAAATAAAACTGAATTCTTCTTTCTAGGTTTAGCTAAAGGAAACTCGGATACATACTGAAGATGTTCAACAAATCCTTCGGAACTCCGTTTGGAGGCAGCACTGGCTTTGGGACAACTTCAACATTTGGACAAAGTAAGTCCTACGTCTACACTTGGAGTCTGGTTTTCCACTGCTTTGTGCGTTTTTTCACAGAGGTGCAGCTAGAGATTTATGTGGGGGGGTGAGTGTGTAAAAATGGGCACAGAGCGCTGCTGGGCTGCCCAGCTCGCTCGCTTTGCTCCTGAATCAGGTTCAGGAGTCCCAGGGCTCTCAGCTTGCACAAGCTTTTACCTTCAGCAGCCACCAGAATTCCACCTACGGGTGATAAAACTTCCCCTTATAAAAGGAGAAACTTGGAAGCCAGGTGAAGGCAGTCTTGTGGGGTTGGGGGGAAGTCCTTCAATCAGGATGGGAACACATTGGGAGGGCTTGGAAGGAAAAAGCTTGCAACCTGAGGAGTTTTCTGGAGGTGCACGTTATAAGTATCACAGCGAGGTGGGTCTGGCCATTAAAGCAGGCTGTACATCACCACATCTGTCTTGTTGGGGAGGGAAAAACCCAACACGTCAACTCTGTTATGTGTTTTTTTTTTTGCCTTGCTTCCAAGCGCAGTAACAAGCAGTGGAGAGCTTGCAGGGCAGCCTGGAGCTGGGTGTCTGTGCCTCGCGTCGCAGTGGCTGGCTCAAGGCTTCAGCCTTTTGCTGCTCTGGCTGTGCAGGTGCTGAGCGTGCCCCTTCACTAGCGTACAGGTCAGGCACAGACTTCTTTTTGGAAGTGAGGACGGTGACAGTGTTCACTGCACGTTCAGAACATGCTTTCATCTAAACCGTGTCACTGATATTTCAGATGCTGGCTTTGGTACTACGAGTGGAGGAGCGTTTGGCACCTCAGCCTTCGGGTCGAACAACAACACCGGAGGCCTCTTCGGCAGCACACAGACAAAGCCAGGTATTGCAGCAGTGTTACAGCTGTAGTGCAAATCCTCTCCTGAAAGAAGGAAGTTACTTAAAACCAAAACATGGCAACAACAAAAAACCCCAGCAGCTAATGACTGCAAATAATTAACAGCTTGTTTCTGTCTTCAGGAGGGTTGTTTGGTTCGACGACGTTTAACCAGCCAGCCACCTCCTCCACAAGTACTGGCTTTGGGTTTGGGACATCAACAGGGACGTCAAACAGCCTGTTTGGCACCACCAGCACCGGTGGAGGGCTCTTCTCATCCCAAAGCAATGCCTTCGCGCAGAACAAGCCCGCTGGCTTCGGAAGTGAGTAGAGCTGCTGCGTCTCCTAATTGTTGAGTGAGAAGTGCAGAACACTGGGTATAATTGGGGATCAGATACAAGTGTTAATGTGGGGTTTCAGCCTGTGTTTTTTTTTTTGTGTAGTTCCTCTTCATTTTCTCCCAGAGGGTGTGGTTGTGTTACTGTGACCCGTGGTAGCCAGATGTGAAACTGATTAGCTAAAAATTCATGGCTAAAATGACAGCTACAGATTTTGTAGCCTGATTGGTAGTCAACTGGCACTTCCCATTCTCAAATGTCCTTTGGCTCTGCTTGATCTTAGCTTTTTATTCTGCTTTCTGCAGGGCAGTTGTGGTTGATTCTGCTTCTGGCACTGCAACGTTTGAAACGCTTCTTAAACTCTACTGTAATTCCTTGAAGCAGAAACAACAACTTGCAGACACTTTTGAGAAGAGAAATAGAAACTTCGCTGTTTCCCTTTGTGCACATCATTTCCTTAGTGGTGTTGTCAGGAAGAGGATGGAACTGGCTGCTGTGGTTATTGTAGTATTTCCTGGGGTGATGAGCTGGGGGCTAACCTGTAGTGTGTTAACAGGCTACACGTTTCCAGTACTGCTCTAATTTTTTTTTTTAACAGTTTCTTCCATTTCCAAAATGCTTTCTAGTTTGAATAGAGTATTTGACTTTCAGTTTTAAAATTAAAGTTTGTCCTTGTACTGATCTTCTTGTTTTTATTTTTTTAAAGACTTTGGAACAAGCACCAGCAGTGGCGGCCTCTTCGGAACCACAAACACAACTTCCAATCCTTTTGGGAGTACATCTGGCTCTCTGTTCGGCCCAACTAGTTTCACTGCTGCTCCAACTGGCACAACCATTAAGTTCAATGTAAGTTCTGTTTTTCCTTCTTAATCCAGCCTGTTTACTATAGGAAATGTTACGTTTTGCAGTTCTTTGTGTAGAGCACTGTCTTGGCTGTTGAGCTTTCTTTTTTCTTTTTAAAAAAAAAAAAAGTTCATGTATACAGTATGTGGTATTCTGAAATAGCTTGAAAATATCCCCTGTTGCAGTGGAAATAGTACATACAACTAACTCCAAAGAGCTAGACTTCTTTTATTCTGAATTTGACAAGTTCTCAAGCACTGTGGAGTAATGCCTCTGTCTAGACTCATTACCTTACTGATACGTGAAAGGTGAAGAGAGAAACCAGCTCTAAGTTTGAGCCTTCTCAGGGAGGCAGGAGGTGTCACGGAGTTCGCAGTGATCACTGCTAAATGTTCAGAGCAGTAAGGGCTAAAACATTCCAAGTGTGGGCCAAAATAAATGTAATCCACTTACATAAGTCATTGTGGCTTTGGGAATGAAAACTAAAAGTTGAAGACTGGTTCCCTGTGCGTGTTTTCTGGCTGAGTTCCCTTTAAGTAAGGGTAGAATGATCTGTCCTGAAGGTTCTGTGGCAGTTGAAGATGGAGAGCGGCTTGGAAGAGCAGATGTCGTGGAAATGGGGTAACTGATAGCTGTTGAAAGAGGCATTCGTTTTCCCAAATATCTGTTTAGTTCAGAAATGAAGAGGGATGATGCTTGTACAAACTGATTTAACAGCCTAAGACTTTGTTCGGCCTCCCTGGTTGTAGGCAGAAGGGTGATCAACGTGGGCAGTGTCAGAGGGGCGTCGGTTATGAGTTTCTACATAGTACAATTTAAAAAAGGAAACAAAAACATCAGGGATAATAAAATCCCTGGATATAGCTGGAGGATTTGTATCGTAAACTGCGTTGTTTAGCGGGTTACTAGGGGAAATTTCATTATTGATTGCCACCAAACATGCGTCACCACTGGGTGAGGCCCCAGCTGTGAGATAATGCTAATGTCCTGCTTCAGTTCCTGCAAGAAGTGTAGTTTTTAACAGTGTCTGCCCAGAAAGTAATGGTATCGATGAAAACCTGTCTGGATGTGGTGTCTTTGGGTATGGATATATTTTTGATACCTTTCTCTCCTCTCTTGCAGCCACCAACCGGTACAGATACTATGGTAAAATCTGGAGTTAGCACTAACATTAATACCAAGCACCAGTGCATTACTGCTATGAAGGAATATGAAAGCAAATCTCTCGAGGTCAGTTGATAGTATTCAAACTGTGTTTAGTTTGTCTGTTATTTAGTATTGTTTCTGGCAGATTTTTTTTTTGACAATAGTAAGTGTTGTGCATGCTCATTAATGAGTACAACTTTCAGTTTCTGTGTCACTCACAAAAGAGGCATCATCAAGGAAAAGACATGTTAGTCTTAAATGCTCAAAATTACAACTTTTGAAGAGCTGAAATTCTCTCTCTTGCCATGTACCAGAAGGGCAAGAGATCCTGTTGGGAGCAATCCTATGCTGATGAAATGGCAGAATCCCAGACAAAACTCCGTTGTTTATTATAAACAAACTGTTCCCAAGGATTTAATCATGAAGCTTCTCTGTTCAAGTTGACTTATTTGATGCTTCAAAATAGGTCTAATCAAAAGATCTGTAAAAGCCCATAGAAATAAAATTGAAGCCCACATGTGAACAGCAGTGATAAATGTTCAGGTCCTGATTATGCTGCCCTTATTTCTAAAAACGTAGAGGTGTTACCAGCTGTTTTTGACACGTTCACCCTGAAAGCTGTGTAAAGATGTTAACAACACTGTTCTCATCTTATTCTGTATAAAAAGAACCTGTAAAGAGAATTGGATTTTCCTTTACTAGGAGCTCCGTTTAGAAGACTACCAGGCGAACAGGAAAGGCCCCACAAACCCTGTAGGAGCAGGAGCAACTGCAGGCTTGTTTGGGTCTTCTACGGCTACGTCAAGTACAGCTACAGGACTCTTCGGCTCTTCTACTACTAATACAGGCTTTTCTTACGGACAGAATAAAACTGCTTTTGGAACTAGTAAGTACTGCCGAATGTCTGTCTTCACTGTGACTGAGCATGCAAACGTTTTGTTAAGCTCCATAAAATTCGCCCATGAAAAAAGATGAGGAAGTGCTGGAGTGAGCTCAGAGCTCGACTAGTTGCATCGTCAGCGTTTGATAATCAGGTTCTTCTCCATAGAAATATCTACTGGTTTGCTCGTCAGGGTTTGTAGGGTTTGTATGCTTTGTCTGCATCCCTAAAGTTTTGCTGGTAAACAGTTCTTTCGAGCATTTGTCTTTACAAGAACGTCAGCTAGCTCACGTGGAAGAGTAAAACAATTTGAAGTAGAACCACCAGGATAGTGTTTCCTGTGCACCAGGGTGCTAGCATCGGGTGGTTAAAGGTGAAGTCAAGATTCTACTTCTGCTGATGAGCAGACACATTCCTTTGAAATTGACCTGTTAATGTATTGGCCTGATTAGACTTTGCCTGGATCTCTTCTCCACCAGTACCTCAGGGTTAGGGTCTAGACACATTTGTTGTGCCACCCTGTGCCATTCTTGGATTGGAAAATAAAAGCCGGGTGTTGCATATCTGGCAGTTGCAGGTCAGTTGGACTGATCAGCTGGTGAACCTTTTTGAACTTAATGTAAAGCAAATGCTGCTGAAAAGCTTGAATGCAAATTCTATTATGTGAACTAATCGGCTTTTTGCCGTGAACTTAGATGTAAGTAGGTATTTGCATTTGTGGAATTAAAACACAGACAGAAGGCCAAAATCCTCCAGCTGATAGAAGCAGAAACAATTCTATCTGCTGCTTTCTGAGGTTAGAACTTTGTCCTGTCCTTTAGGCTTGCTTGACGCCCTTCAGGGCTGAGCTGAGCTGCTGTCCTTGAGCGGGTTCCACATAGAGGAGGCCGTACTAAAATACCCAGACTGCTCAACGTAGCAGTCTTGCTGGAATTCATGTATTTCTCGTGCAGTCAGCTCTGAAGAAAGTTCTGCAGAGATAGCAATGACAGTTGTGGGAGGAGGAACAAAAGCTTTTGGCTGTGTGTACGCTGTGTTTACCACGTCACATGTGAACAGACTTTTTGTTTTTCCATCGGGGGAAAAAAAGGGAGAGTGTTTGAGGTTCAGGTGGAAGCTTCTGTAGTAAAAGTTGTGTGGGTTATAGAACAGTTTTTGTAAAGCAGGGGACTGTATCTACCTCCTGCCCAGTCAGCTCTCTGCAGGTGCAAATGGGACAGTTTCCATTTTACAACGGATGACGAGCTGACCATATCAAAAGTGGCATATTTTTGGTCAGATCTACCTGTCAGGTAATTGTTGAGTGTTATACTTGTATTGACTTCAGGACAAGGAGAACCTGATGAAACACCTGACACAAACTATTTCCATCTGAATGCAGGTGCTGTGCTGTATTGACACTGCGTGTCTTGCTGTTCCATTGGGTTGAGGCGTTTCTTTTTCCTGCTTGAATGCACTGAGCCTGGCTTTGGATAAATTCTTGAGTTTTTTTTTTAAACCAATTCGTTTGGTTTAACGAAGCCAACAAATCTGTAATTTGTTTTTGTTGTAGGTACGACTGGCTTTGGAACAGGAACGACAGGGGGTCTGTTTGGTCAGCAGCCTCAAACTACAAGCCTGTTCAACAAACCTTTTGGTCAAGCCACAACAACGCAGAACACCGGCTTTTCCTTTGGCAATACGAACACGCTGGGGCAGCCAAACACAAACACGATGGTAAGAGTAACTGTTTGAAACCAGAAAGCTTTAAATTGTGCTTTATCTCCTCCAGCTAGACAGAGGAGGCTGTGCTGTACATTATGTAGTTCTTCGCATCTTTGTCAAATTGTAACACAGGTTTGTTGAAACTAAGATGCAAAGCTTTGAATGCTGCTGTCTGATCTAGGAACGTATTGCCAACTAAAACAAGTGGGCAGCAGCATGGCTGTTAACAAGTAACATTTCCCATTCTCTTTAAAGACTCTGCTCTCTCACCAACTCAAGTATTTCCAATCATGTTCACGCAGATAACAAATAATTACATAGAATTCCCACTGAGTGTTACTAAGGATTCTGTACTTTCTGGCGACCAATGAGCCGCATTTGTGGGCTCTTATGGTAGAAAGGCACTACCTAGCTGTAACTTGTTGCATTGTGCATCTGGAGCCAAAACCTCTTGCTGTATTCTTTCTGCGTATGTTGTAACTTCTCCCAGAAAACCAGATGGGATGGCTACTTCCCATCTTTGCCATTCGAAGTGGGGAGGAGATTCCGATATCCTCTCAAGCTGGGAACATGTGACTAATCTCCCAGAGAACTAATAAAGCTTATGAAATGTTTTTTAGCTGTCTTTTTGCCCTATCAAAAGGTGAAATATTATAGTATCACTTTATTAACTGACTTCTTATATTTGTTCTGCCATTATAAGTGCTTTGAAGCATTATCTTAACATAATTTAACATAATTCCTCTTCGTAGGGTCTCTTTGGGGCAACCCAGCCCTCGCAGCCTGGAGGCCTCTTTGGAACAGCTGCCAATACAAACGCTGGTACTGGATTTGGAACGGGAACTAGTCTTTTTGGACAAACTAACACAGGATTTGGTGTTGGCGGTTCGGTATGTCCATGCCTTGAATAATAAAATATGTTTTTTAAAATGGCTTCTAGAGTCCTGTTACTGTGTGTTGACCTAAGTAGTGCTGTCTAAACTAAGGCACTGAAGAGGCAAAAACAGTGTGTGTCTTGCAAAGTCAAGGTATGAGCGTGTTTGATAGAACTTCTCGTCTCTAGTGATGAGAGACAGTGAGAGAGACTGAACGTCTGCCTGTGTATGCCCTCTGATACAGAATCACAGCCTTCTGTGACATCCATCACAGAATTCTGTGACATGATATCACAGAATTCTGTAACCCTGTATCGGTAGGGGTGCCTCAAAGTAGTGTTGAAAATACAAGCGTTTAGATTTATATATTGACTTAACTGAAAATCTTGACTCAAGTTCATTTTATTTGGGTTTTAATCTGTGCTCTGTGGAGGTGGGTAAAAGAGGGAAAAAGTTATTTCCAGAAGGTGCTTGCTGTATGCTAGTGCACGTGGCTTGCAACTAACACCGCTCTTGGGAGCCTGGGTTGTGTGGTCAAAGTTATGCTTGGCTTTACTTCTGCTTTGTTGCCTGCAGTGAAGCTAATACAATTTCTTTTAATTTCAGTCTGTCGGATTTCAAATTCTCCTTTTCTTCCCTTTCAGACCCTGTTTGGTAGCAAGCCGGCTGGATTTGGAACCACCACGACCAGTGCTCCCTCGTTTGGCACAACCACTGGCGGCGGGCTCTTTGGTAACAAACCAACCCTGACTTTAGGAACCAATACAAACACTTCCAATTTTGGTACATATAAAAAAAAGTGGGATTCAATCACTTTAAAACATACTGCATATACCACATACCTGGCTGCTGAATATCGCATGCTAAATGATTATGAATTTAGAATTGTCAGGTAAGCCATACTTCTGATGAATTTTGCTGCAGAGGAACAGTCTTGGATGGTGTTTTAAACCTTTCTTCTTGGTGGTATTCCCTGACTTGCAAGGCAGATGGTGAAGTAAAAGTACCACTATTTCATGTAGTGCTTAAGAAGACGTAACCTGTAACTTAAAACTTTTAAAATCAAAGCACTCACACAGCATAGTATATTAATAGTCTCTTAAATCCTCCGTGTTTGCAAAGGAGTGCTGGAGGAAAACAGGGTGAAAATGGTGATGCTTATAGCTTCGTGGCAGATACAACGAAATATACTGGAGCAAGGAGAAAATGAAACAGTTCTGGTTTCAGTTATAGCTGATTTTGACTCTTCACACTGAAAAACAAAGTCCCAAGAACTGGGTCTTGTGTTAATGTTGGCCTCTGACACCATTAAATATTTAGTGTTAAATGAGTGGGTGATCAAGTAGGGCAATGTATAGTGATAGTTCAGGTAAATGATAGTCTTCCTTCATTGGATTTCTTTTAATCTTTTTTTTTTTTCCTCCTGAAGCTGAGAGCATTGAAACTGTACTCATAAAATTAAGCAGGAGTGGTTTTAGGATGTTAAAGGATCCTGATGTGCCTCCTTTTTTTTTTTTTTAATCTGGAAAAAAAAAAAAGTAAAACATGATTACTCTGCCATGCCAGCCTTCCAGAAAGAGGGAATAAATTGTCAAGCTCTTAGACTGACAGGGCAGTAGCTTTAGAGGACATAGTTCATTGTGGTAATCAAGCTTAGGTAAATGATCATCACGTTTTTTGTGGAAGTTGCTTCCAAGTTTCTTCTGCTGCTCTCTAAGTAGCCATGGTAGTTAGCACATTGACACTGCTTATTAGTCCCTGTTTAGCAAACGATATTGATTCTAGTGTGTGTTTTGGTTTCCCTGCATTCCTTGTGTTAGTGCAGTTTATAGGAAAAGTGGAGTTTGGTCCTAGGGTGTTTCTGATCTTGGTCCATGGCTGCAGTTTTCTAGTTTTAATTCTGTCTTTACACTAATCAACATTTAATGGTTTCACAATCTTCAATTTTAAAAATAACCTGTCTACTGCTAGATTTGGATTAGATGTCTTTGAGTAGTTCACTCTTACAAACCTGAGTTGTTACTTGCTTTGTCAGTAAGAATCAGAAGTGCGTGTGTGGTATAAACAGTATAAAAAGGGGTTTGTTCTTCCAGGCATTGAAGAGAAACTTAATGTTACATTCTGTTGCCTGATACAGCATCAGTAATGTCCTTTCTGGCTTTATAAATTTTTTTAATCTGTAACAAACTTAATAATCTAGGAAAGCAAGATGGTGAATTCTTATACCAATGTTTTCAGTCCTACGTTTATAACTTAAATATTTAATTTACCACTTAAGTCGCTTCTTGCTGCATGTTTAACATGCATGGCTGAAAATGGTGCGTGAATTTTGGCCTTAACTATGGTAGGGCTGTCTTTGAGCTGGTGATGCTTATTTATGTTTTTAAATTCTTAGCTCTAGACTAATGAGATACTGTTTCTGTCCTTGAAGGTTTTGGTGCCAACACTGCTGGAAATAGCTTATTTGGAAATAAGCCTGCAACTGGGACTCTGGGAACTGGAATTGGGACAGGGTTTGGAACAGGTAAACAGTTTATTAGCTTAAGCATAGTCCTCAAACTTTGATAATAAAACACCATTTGTATTACTGTGCTAACCCTCGTGTAGTAATGGCCCTAGAAGCTTTACCTTGAAGTCACAAATCTCAGTCTCAAAGCAGAATGAAGCAGAGCAGGATAATGATGCACTCAATAACCTTTTAGAAATTGCAAGCAGCATTGCTTATGGTGGTGGCCAGTCGCTCCAAAAATTGATGGCACCCTCTGAAGTCTCTGGTGGTGTGACCACATGAGTCTTGAGTTGACGTGGGCATGTCAAATCTTTCTTGCAATTTAACAAATAATTGATTCTTTGTAGGATAAACTGGCTTCTAAATTTGTCAGTGTTATAGTGAATAACATTCCTCTTCCCCCATAGCTCTTGGGGCAGGACAGACTTCTTTATTTGGAAATACCCAGCCTAAACTTGGTGGAACACTGGGAACAGGAGCATTTGGAGCACCGGGGTTCAATACATCAACAGCGACTCTGGGCTTTGGAGCCCCTCAGCCTGCTGTAGGTAAGTGTGCATTAACCCAGGTTTAATTGCTGCTTCCTCCCTTCTTTCAAACATTCCTAAAGATATAGATAAATCCCCCTGAAATGGTATGGAGTGAAAAAGAATGTTTGAGGAGCTATTTGAGAACAGAAGTGGCCTCAATAGACCATGACGCTTTTTTTTCTGGTAATTGTTTGTGTTTGAATTACTTCTAATTTTATGTGTATACAAAGTTACTTAACATTATTAATAGTCGCAGCTATTTTAAGGCTTTCTCTTCAATATTACTGAGATGTTTTCCATCAATCAACTGTGGGGCAGCAGCAGTAGGCCCTTCTTATAATGTAAGGAAGGGGGGGTGAAGTGTGGCATTAGCTTCTTCAGTGATCCTGGCTAGGAGAGCTGGAGAGACTTAACTAGTGAGTGAGCTGTACCATCGGTCAGATGACTGCTCTTTATATTCAGTCACTCCCCAGTCGTTCTGTAAATTAGAACTGCACCACTTCTGCACTTCCAGCAGTCTTCATCTTGTTTGGCAGACCTGAACACTTCGTATGAACAGCATACGTAACCGATGCTGCAGCCCCGCTGAGGTGGCAGTTTTGGGAAGATGTTTTTTGACTGGGTGGTGGGGAGGGAGGGGGTGGTCCACAGCACTGTGTGGTGGTGTGGCTGGTTGGTGTTTGAGGATTCCTGCAAGCCCAGGAGTGGTCCATCCTAACGAGCAGAACAGGCAAAATGCTGGGAGACCTGCACAGATGGACAAGGAGCATGTGGAAGGTGGAAGCAAGGACAGGTGACCTGTAGGGAACACAGACACTGAGCATCCGGGGATGAGGTTAGGAAATTAAAACCTATATAGAACTTGACTGGTGGTGTCAAAGGCTACAAGGAGGGCTTCTGTAAGTGGGTGGATGGCAAAAGGAAGGCTGGGTAAAACGTGGACCTGTTGCTGGATGAGATGGAGACCTGGTGACACAAGACAAGGAAGAGGCTCGGGTCCCGAGCGTCCTTTTTGCCACAGTTTTTTACCAGTGAGGGCAGCCTTCAAGAACACCAGTTCGCAGAAACAAGGGTGAAAAGGGTGGAGGCAGGTAGATGTACTCTTGTGGAAGAGGATCAGGTGAGGGAATACTTAAGCAAAGCTGGCGTATATAAGCCCATGGGCCAGGAGGGAATGTGTGCAGAGGTTCTGGGAGAGTTGGAAAATGTCATTGCAGGGCTATTCCCAAATGTGGAATAATTCTGACAGTTGGGAAAAGTGTGGAGTGGAGGGGGGGGAAAAAAAAAGGTGAGGACTGGCAGAAAGCAAATACCACTCTGGTCATCAAGAAGGGCAGGAAGGAAGACTCAAGGAGTGACAGACCAGTCAGCCTCAGGTCTGGCTCTGGGAAGGTAGAGGAGCAGCTAATCCTGGAAACCATGTACAGGTGTGTGAGCAACACGAAAGTCATCAGGAGCAGTCTGTATGGATTCCCCAAGGGGAAATCATGCTTGACCAACCTTATAAGCTTCCACAATGAAACTCAGGAGAAAATACCTGCTCAACATATTGCAGTCAGGTTCTACATATTTGTCTTGCTTCCATTGCATTTCTGCATTTTCTAAGCTTGAGCCCTCAGTGATGTAGATCAGCAGGTGGTCTGAGTGTTCACTTCTGTAGGTATTGCCTGCAGTGGCACAGCTCAGGGAAAGGTCTCGCGGGTCAATGTTTGCTCAGTTCCTACAGATTTCAGTCTGCTAAGAACCAGTTGTCTCACACTCTCCTCCTGAGCAGACTTTGACAGTAAGGTCTTGTTTCCGAGACTGGTTTTGGTCATCTCTGGGAATGCACAGCTTCAGTCTGTTTTTCTTAGAATTAAAATTAGGGTGCATTGTGTTCCTTAAAAGTTTCATAGTGTGAACACTTTGTTGAATTTTAATAAGAACTAAAAGTAGATGCTAGGAGATGGACAAGTTTCAGAGGCCGTTTTTTGCAGAGAGCTGTAAGTTGAATCACTGCAGCAGCTTTGACATTAATGCTTCAGAAATCAGATGTATTAATTAAAGGTTTTGGTAGGCTAGGCTCATTCTGCTGTTGGGTAACTCTATGCCCTCAGCTTTTCACACATAAAAACTTACTGAACGGGGTTCCAAATACTAATGAAGGTACAGGATGAGTTCTTCCTGCAGAATTCTGTAGAAATTAGGATTGAAGAAAAGGGGGAAGGAAAGCTGAAGTTAATAACAGAAATCTGAATTCCTATGAGGAGAGCCTGTGGGGGTTGTCTTTCCTGTCTACCTTGGTTCTGTTGATAAATGTGTTGAATGCTAAAAACAGATGTTCTTTTCTAGCACTGACAGACCCTAACGCATCAGCGGCCCAGCAGGCGGTCCTCCAGCAGCATCTCAATAGCTTGACTTACTCACCCTTTGGAGATTCCCCGCTGTTCAGAAACCCCATGTCAGATCCAAAGAAGAAAGAAGAGGTGAGTGTATTAAACTAGTTTTCTGGGAAAGGTTTGAAATGACTTTATGTTGTGCTCTCTCTCGTGTCTTCACTTAAGATGAACAGTGAGTGAAGTGAGTAACTTAGTGACCTACCATCCCTGTACTCTGTGGTGTGGGTGTTTTTTTGTTGTTGTTTTTGTTTTTTAACGCTATCGAGGACAAGCTTGTGCTGGTGCTTTGTTTACTGCTTCTGATACATCAGAGCCTTGACTTTGGAGTTCATTATGCTTGTTGCTGCTAGTTGAGAATGAAGATGGGTAGCTGTCTGTGCTTGGAGTATTTTTAGTATTTAGCTTGAGCGTGGCTTATGACAGTCTTGAGCTGTCGGTTTGTTTTGAAAGCCAACCAAGCACACCTCTGAGGCTTAAGTCGTTAAGGGACGTCATAAATGGCCACTGCCCTGACAAGTTCCAGAGGCTGGGGATTCCTCCAGCCCAGCACAGTGCTCCCCTGGGCCTGGGGGGCTCCTTCCCAGGCTGCTGGCTGTGGCTGCTGCCTTCCCGTTTGCAGGCACAGCCATAAGGGCTGAAGATCTGTAGTGAAGTGCCCAGGCTCACTGTGATTCACCTGTACACTTGGGGATCCCCTGAGCATGTGTTGCTCCCTTCCTGCCCAGTCCCCCTGCCCGAGTCCTGAGCCCCCCTACCTGCTCTGCACGTCTCCTGCCTGCTGCAGAGACACAGGCACCTCTCACCCTGTGCTCACTGCTCCCTCCGTGTCAGCACCACTCCCCTGCCTGGCTGATAGCCTCACCAGGACAACTTGCTGGCCCCAAATTCCCTCATGCCCGTCCCAGTTGTGTTCTCACACACAGGTTAAGGTGAGATAACACAAAGATGGTTAGGAAGGGTTTTAATGAGAAGATGGGGGAGAGAGCTGTGATCAGGTGCAGGGCTCGAGTCAGAAGTGGTGTTTACACACTGGTGGTGTTTACACAACCAGCCTGCTCATGCTCATTCTCTCCGTCCCCTTCCATTGCACCTCCCCCATTCCCTTCCTCTAAGCATTCCTGAAGTTTTATGTGCTTCCCCAGACCTCCTGGAATATCCCAAATCCTCCTGTTCATATTGGTTTACCCCCGTAACTGTTGAAGTCCAGGTTGGCTCTCTGAAAGCTGAGCTTGTGGCTTCTTGGTGGCCCATCAATGCAAGACTGGGGAATTTTGGCCTTTGCCATTGTTTCTGCTACCTGTCATCAGCCAGCTTTGTGTCTGTCCTTGTTTATTGGTTCCCCATTTGCTTGTTACACTCCTTGCCTTTTATAAGGTCCTTGGCTAGCTACCCTTATGGTTCACGGTATGGAAACTCAAATTCTACCTCCTTGTGTTTCAGAGGCTGAAACCAACAAACCCAGCAGCTCAGAAGGCCTTAACGACACCCACCCACTACAAACTGACTCCGCGCCCCGCGACCAGAGTGCGACCAAAAGCTTTGCAGTCAGCTGGCTCTGCGAAATCCCAGCTCTTCGATGGTCTTGATGATGATGAGCCGTCCCTGTCCAACGGCGCGTTCATGCCCAAGTTAGTGTTCCTTTCGTGTATGGTAGAGGGAGCAAGCAGTACAAGAATAACTGTAGTATCGCTCCCGTTTCTGATCAGGTTAAGTCCTTTGTAGTGTTGTAAATCCCATCACTTCTTGTGACCTGTCTCAAATATCAAGAGCAATAACAGAACTTGTGTATAATTTGGAGAGAAATACTTTTCTGGGGAGGAGATGACAATCAGCTTAAACTGCTAACTGCAAATAAGCTGTAAAATGTGGTGATGAGTGGAATGAATTGTCTATGAAATCAGAAGTTATAACAAAAGTTTGTATAGCATGCAGCTTCCTGCATCTGAAATAGAGTCGTTAGGCTCGTTAATGCCACCAGTATGAAGGAAGATCTATGATAATTTCACAGCCTAATGCTTGGTTCTCCTTTGAGATACACAGCTGTTTCTGTGAGAAGCGAATAGCAGAGCTGTGGATCTATTGTAATGAAGCTTTTGGTTTCGGTCTTTAAGCATACCAGTGGCAATCAAATTAAAAAGGGCTTTAGAAAGCTTTTGTTTTTACTTAAAACAAACAAATACTTCAAAGATGAATCAGTCACTGAAAGTCCCTCTAGCCACACACTTATAAAGATTACAAAACATTATTTTTTGAGCTTAGTTTCTGTTTAACTTAGCCTGAAACATCTGCTCACTTTCCAGGGAGAGAACAGAGTATGGAATTACTCAGTGTTTTATTGAAAAACACCAAATGAATGAAAATTCAGGACAAAACAGATGCTTAAACTCTTCTTGCAGGTGTAATTGGTGTTGGTCTTCAGTGCTTTTCACACTACAGGCAGTGAGTCCTAGCATGGCCATCGATTTGCTCCTAAAGTGTCCCTGTACTAAAGAAAAGCCTGCATCTGCGGGACAGGGCTTTATGTGCTTCTGCTGGAAAGGCAACATTCTGTAAAAACTGATAACTCTGTGGTTTACTGAACGTGGGCTTTGGAGCTTTCAATGACTTTTTTACACTTATTCACAAACCAAAGCCTTGAATGAAATTTTTTTTTTTTTAAAAAAAAACAAAACGAAACAAAACAAAAAAACAACGTAGTAACTCAGCTACTGCAGTGCTCTTACAGAAGACTTTGTATATAACAGGTGTGGAAACAGGTCTTACACAACTGGCTTCTGCTCCCTGGAACACTCAAATTAAGTGTGAAGTATATATTTTTGCAGTGGATATAACCCAATTTCCCTTTGTTTTGTCTTTTTGTGTCCTTTTTTTTTTTTTTTATAGGAAGAGCATCAAGAAGTTGGTTTTGAAGAATCTCAACAATAGCAGTCTCTTCTCACCTGTCAATCGTGAAAACGAAGACCTGGCTTCTCCGTCAGAATATCCAGAGAATGGAGACAGGTACGGTGATGGCTGCTGCAGGTCCATGGCTATGACTGTCCCAAAATTATCGTTAAGAATGTAGGTAGTTATTTTGAGGGATGCCATCTTAGCTGTTCACTGGAAGTGAGTGGACGTACTGTGAGATTCGTTTACTCTTAAACTGGCCGTCTGTTCTTGCTGCATAGTCACGTGCCACTTCATTCCACCCAAACTCAGGAATTTAAAGAGGGGTGACTTTTCTGGTTATGTTTCTCCTCATTCCTTATAGAGAGAGAGCTAGGCCACTTGAGTGCTAAACCTCACCCTGAAGTCAGAGAAACCTTTTCTTTTGGTTAGTCCTCCTCAGCAAGGTGGAATTCCAAGGAAACTTCACTAATCTGAATGTGTCCTATTACTAAGGTTGTTTTTGTGTATTAAATTTGTCCCCCTCTGCTCTGCCCTTGTAAGGCCCCACTTGGAGCCCTTGTTAGAGCTAACAATTGCAATTTGGTTTTCTTTAGGTTCTTTTTGTCAGTACCTTCTGATGAAAACCACAGACAAGATGGTGAGCGAGAGGAAGAGGAGGATCAACATGAAGTGACCAGGTTTTACACTAACCCCATCGCCAAGCCCATCCCCCAGACTCCCGAGAACACTGTGCACAAACACCAGAACAACGTGGACGACACCATCGTGGCTCTGAACATGCGGGCGGCCTTGCGAAATGGTCTGGAAGGCAGCAGTGAAGATGCCTCGTTTCACGACGATTCCCTTCAAGATGAACGTGAAGAGGAGAGTGAAACCATGCATCATGTGCATCCTGCAGGTTAGCTTGTGGGTGGGCAGCAGTAATTCCTTATAGACAGGCAGTTCCTGACAGCACCTTCGTGCATGCTGCTTTAAAGTTCTCTTCTGCTGTTTTAGATCCTCAGCTTTTTGTTTCTCTCCCTCCTGTTTTCTTCCAGATACAAATCGTGTTTTTCATTGTCATATCTAATGCTGAATCTTCCTGCTGAGTCACTAAGCAATTAAACTTGTTAATTAAAATTGCCCTGTTTTATGCTACACTGATTTAGTGAGATTCCATGAAGGGGAGGAGGAGGACCCGATCAGTAGTTGTTCTACACAGTAGACAGAGCTGACTACAGTTCAGGCAAAAGATCTTGGTTATAAATCTATTTAAATGCTCAGTAAATACCAGGTGCAGAGTTTTAGAAGTTGCCAAGAAAGGAGGGGGCCATGGAATACTGGTTATGTCTCTCTGTGGACCTTTCTAGCACCTCTCTTTCAGTACTTTCAGTTCTGGTCTCAGGGTGTGGTAGTAAAACTGGAGAAGTAGGAGGGGGGAGGAAATTGAGAGGTCTTGAGTAGCTTTCACTCAACAAAGGCTTCATAGCTTATATAAAACTTTATAAGTGAAGAGGTGGGGGATTGTTAGTTTTGTTAAACATGAGTGGTCTGGAAAAGGTGAAGAGATTTGTTTCTCCTTTTCAGTTTCAGTTTATACTTGCATCTAATAAAAGCAACAGGTGATGTTGAGAATGAGTGTTTTCAGAAGCCACAATGGCAAGTAGATGTGGATGTGAAAAGCTTATGTAGGTTTTAAAGATCATTAGACAAATGAATAACAAAAAAAGTATTGGAGACTGTTAAATGCAGAAGCTGCTTACCTGTGCTCCCAAATCATTAAAGCCAGAAGAGTGTTTCTGTCAAGTACTGCTGTATGTGTCTGGAGAAACTTGCATAGCAGTTGTCTTAAACTTGCTGTTAAGGCTTTTCTGTTTGCTTTTGGTGTACTGATTCTCAGTTTGTTTGCAACCTGCATTCCATTACTTCTGCAAGCCTGGACAACTGAAACTCCTGAAATGGTAAAGTTGGCAGTCTTGCTGTTTGTTAGCCCAGTTCTCATTGACATTTCCATTGTAGGAATTGTTCTAACAAGAGCTGGCTATTACACCATCCCGTCCATGGAGGAGCTTGCTAGATTTACCAACGACAGAAATGAATGTATTGTGACTGACTTCACCATCGGCCGTAAAGGTAAATGCACGCAGCTTTTCTAGTTGAACCAGTGAGGTTTTTTTTAAAGCTATGGAACCTGAGTCTGAATTCCCTACCTTCAGCTTAATTATAAGCAGTGCTCCTGCGCTCTGAACAGCTTACACCAAAGACTAGAAATCTTTCAGATTGGTAGTGCTACCATCCTGTGTTATGGGATGATTTGAAAAACTTGAATGTGAAAATAAAAAAGCACCTGTAGCAACCTTCTGGAGCAGGTTGCGTATCAGATCACTGTTTCCATCTCAGTTACTGCCTACATTTGAGCTTACTGAGCTCTAGTGAAGAGCTTTCAGCCTGAACTGTATTCCTTACTGCTTTTATATAAAAATAAAATCATAACATAGTATTTTTAGAACACTTTTCTAAATGTGCTATAAAGCCAAGGGTGTGCTGGGTACTTGTGTGGGCAGTATCAATACACAAAGCTTTCCATGCAAGTGTTGACTAAAAAAAAAAGTTGCTAACATCTTCAGCATTTTCACACTGGGAAGTGGAGCCACTTGTACTCTGTTCTGGAGCCAGAGCAAAGGTAGGTGGGAAGCTGGGGCAAGGAGGAGGATGGCAGGAACTATACGAGTGTGGCTGTCTGTCATAAGATTATTTTCATGGGCAAATAGTGATTTTGGTCACCTTTTGTTCTGCTTTACAGGTTATGGATCAATTTACTTTGAAGGAGAAGTAAATCTAACAAACTTAAATCTGGATGACATTGTACATATCCGTAGGAAAGAAGTGATTGTTTACCCCGACGATGAAAGAAAACCACCTATTGGTGAAGGTTTAAATAGGTAATTTAAAAAAAAAAGTACTTTATAGTGGCAGTGGTGAGTAAGGATGTTTTGATAATGCTGACAGGGTACTGTGTTTGCAGGCAGCTACAAAGGAATCTACATCTGAATTGTACACTCAGGTTACAGCATTGTACTGCTGCTAGACATTTCAAAGTTTCTCAACCAAGAACTTGTTTTAAAAGCTGTTTTGAGTCAACATGGTCAATTTTCAGCTCCTGTGTGTGCCTTGATAGCTTTGCATCAAAACCTTGTAGTTTCTTATGCACTCTTCCATCTTTAACAGACGAGCTGAAGTGACGTTAGATGGAGTCTGGCCTACAGATAAAACATCTCGTTGCTTGATAAAAAGCCCTGAACGACTTGCAGAGATGAATTACGAGGGTAGACTCGAGTCTGTATCTCGGAAGCAGGGCGCTCGATTCAAGGAATACCGTCCAGAGACCGGATCTTGGGTGTTTAAGGTAATGTTTTTGTTTTCCCAACCAAGCTGGTAAAATCTTCTCTGAATAGCTGGAGGCTTTCAGTGGAAGCACTTTACTTGGTGGGTGACACAGTACTCTGTGGGTGGCCCAGAGGGGAACCTCCCCCATTCTGCGATCCCCTGAAGGCCGGTGTACAGCAAGTGTTCATACAGAGGCTGGATTTGTTCCACCTGCCACAACTGCTCTGTAAAGCTGACAGTTACTTCCAAAAGGCCCCAACAATGAGCTGGTGTAAGTGCCTGAACTCTTATTTCTGAGTTGAGACACCTTTGTTCTTCTCGTTACACAGGTGGCACACTTCTCCAAGTATGGCTTGCAAGATTCAGACGAGGAAGAGGAAGAGCATCCTTTAAAAGTGGACACAAAGAAGTTAAAAACCACACCTGTGCCACCTCCAGGGCACCTGCCACCCCAGCAAATGGCCCTAAATGGCAAGCCCACGCCTCCATCTCAGGTAGAAGGAGGACAATGACTAAACGGGAATTCAGAAAATTATATTTGAAGAGTAGCTGGCCCCTAGGGAGGGGTTGCTGATGTTACAGTTAGCCTGGAAACCAAACAGCAAAACCATACACAAATTTGCACAAACTCTTCTGACCTCTTTGAGTGTTTGTGTGTTTTTTGTTAAGATACTTGACAATCCCTTCCAAGGATTGGGGGGGGTGGGGAGGTGTTAAACTCTAGTTTCTTGTTTAGATTCTGGTCTAGATTAAATTTGGCATAGTTGCCACCTATGGAAGAACAACTTGCTTTTGTGAATATTGATTGTTCTATATAATTATAAAGCCTTGTGCTGCCTGCATAAAGAATGACATGTGCATTAATTTGACTTGACTATCATTTAGTATGCAAGACTGTATGCTTTATATTTTGAGAATGTGCTCTATTTTTATTAAATGCTACTTTTTAAGGCTGGTTATACACTGGATTTTTAAGCGTATTGGAATTGGATGGGATTGCTTTTAAAGCTTTGTTATGTATGGTCAGTGTTCTGCCTGTGTGCCTTAAGTAGGGAAGGTAACGTTTTATCCAGTTCGTTGGTAACCCCTTATGGTTTAGTGTTACCTTCATTCAAACCAAAATGTGGCGTGGGTTTAAAGGTTAGACTAATTGCACCTGATGCTCTTACATGTTCCACATAGAGCTGGTATGGATATTGGCAAGCTAAACTAGAATCTGCTTCATGGCAGATGAAAAACAGCTTCTTTGGAAGGCATCCTGGCATTAATGGGATAGAACATGCTCTGTATGCCAGGTGTCAATGGTAAATGTTTCTGAACTACCTGTAGATTTTTTTTTTTTTTGAAGTAACTTGTCATAAAATAGCATGCAAGTGCAGAGAGCAGACTTTCTGAAACTAGGTTCTTGGTTACCTAGCTGGGGAAAAAATAAACCGTAGCAGTTAGGACGTGCAGAAAGGTATCTAGCAGCTGGAGAGGATTTGTGTTGCTGTGCCTAAGCAGGCTTTGTTTTTACCCTTCAGTAATCTGTGAGAGCAGTGAAAGGAGATCTGTACGCTTGCAGCTCACTGAGGCATGGATCCTGTGCCAGGGTGCTGCTTGGCACGCGACCAGTGTTCGTGACCCCTTCAGATCATGGGAAGCAAAGGAGGACAGGTTTTTTTCTGTACCTCTGAAGTCAAAGGATGGCAAACAGCATGAGTCAAATAGCTCGAACACCCATTTTTCTGTCCTGGGTCTTGTCCCTTTGAAGCCATTTGAGCAGCATCTCCCTGCAACTGCCAGTGGCTTTGGGTAGCTTAGAGCCCGTGGGGACGAGGGTGTCACTGCTTCATGAGAAACAAAACCATGCTTCGTTACTGCTTGCACTAAAGGATATTTTTGTTGCTTTTGTGGTAGGAATTCTCATTAAACCAACCTGCAATTGCTTTTAATCCTATATAGCCTGTGGTCTAATCTCAACCTCTGCTGCAAAGGCTGATGTGTTCCTACAGCACCGCCTTAGGTTTCCATGCAGGTTATGGGGTCTGGACACGAAGGTCTCTTGGCAGCAGCGTACAGAAGTGCTTTTCAGTAAAGCCAGCACTGGTGCACTTCAGGAATCCCCATGGCAGAGTCCTGACCACCTTACGAACAGGAAGCCAGCCACAGCACAGTCCATTTGTTGAGCAGAACATGCTTGTGTAGTGACAAACTGGGTGAACTGTCACCTGCTGTGGGTCCAGAAGAATCCAGAAGTAGTCAACAGCTGCTGCATGATCACACCTGGCTCACCGGATAATTAAAACCTGCCAGTTCATCCTGCTCTTGCAAACACTTAAGGAATCTACTTTACATTCTATTTAAGAGGTGAACACAGGGCTGCCTGGCAGACTTGCCTCCATGTGCCACCTTGTAGTCTCCAATTTGTTTCTTATTTGTGTTAATTGGGACCAGAGCAGATGTTTTAAGCAGTCAAAAATACTTGGTGTGACTAATTCAGACCTGTCGTGTAGATTCAAGAATACTGAACAAAAACTTCCTTGGTTGGTAATTAACCTCTTTGACTTGAATACCATTAGCTGAGGGTTTCGTTTGTGAAAATAGGAAGAAGATCTAGGTCAATTTCCCAAACCTCTGAGAAACTGCATAGCATCGAAAACTTGGTGGATTCTTGGTGTGTAGAGCATCAGAAGATGATATTCTCTAGTCTGTGGGAAGCTTTTAGGAATTAGTTTTGGGGTTTTTTTCCTTCACTAACTTGAATATTCATGATTTTGTTAATGTTGCAAGGCCCACAGGAAACAGCTACACCAGGGGCCTTGCTGCATTAAAGCGCAATGAAGGGAGCAGTGAAACTTTTGTTTATAGCCGTGTTTTGACTTGTAAATCTGCTCTGCATGCTGCAGACAGACTCAAATACCACTCGCTAATGCTGCTTCTGTGCCTGCCATCAAGTTCTATCTTTCCAGACCCCCTGGTTTGCCTTTATCTGCCTCACCTGATAAGTCATCATACTTATTAGCTGTTTTTAATGAGCTGAGCAGCCCATTTGAATATGCTCCTAGATTGCTTAGCATGCTTTCCTTGCTCATATACATGCATTGCTTCCACCGCTCTGCGCGTGGCTGCAGCTGGAGCCCGGGTAAACTCTGCACATGGATCCCCCTCCGGGCCCTCCTCAGTAAGGGCAGGGAGGGCTGGGCTGAGCACAGGCACCGTGCAGGAGGTCAGTCGGTCACCCAGCTAGAGCCTGGAGACAGGCAGGTATCGTGGTGCAGGCTGAGCACCTCCTGGGCCAGCTGCTTCTTTCAGCTCGACCCGTTGGCTGCGCAGTGCCAGCACTGAAATGGCATCCTGCAGGGGCTTTGTGCTGTCAAACAGTTTCGTGTAGCAGAGCTGCAGCTCAGTGGAGGTGCTTGCAGCACTGCCGTGCTCCACACCTGGCCGAGGAGGGGCTCAGTGCATCGACTGCAATACCCTGCTGGCACCACAGCCAGCAAGCTGTGCACGCTGCTTGCAGCCAGAGCTGATGGCAGCGCTCCTTTATTTCTGCTGTCTGCTTCTCATTTGGACTGCATCAACTTCTTCTGGCCCTGCCTGCCCTTTGGGGCTGGGTTCCCATGAGCAATCGAAGATGCCTAGAGGTCACTTCAGGCTCATCACAAAGATGTTGCCATGCGATTGCCTTCAGTAAAATCACAACAGGAATTCCTCCTCCTGCCTTGGACTATGCACAGGCAAGAGAAACTTAGCTGCAGCTTGGAAGAGAACTACTTTATTTAACTGAAGTGGAAAAAACACTTCCACAACTTTCCAGTCCAATAACAGTTGTTAAAAATCAATATACCTGCACACGTACACCCTCCATGAGCCAGTATTGCGTGATCATGAAGGAGACTGTGTATATCTAAAACTTCTGTGAAGATTTTTGGTGGAATATAAACTCAGTATTGTACAAATGTCACACCTGGGGAAACAGCAGTGTTACAGACCTCACCTGTTCCTCAGCAACTACCACTGGTTCCACAGCTTAATGCAGAGAATCGCTGTTTTTAAACCAGTCATCTACAATGTCCCAAGTTAACTTTTTATGTAATATCGTGAGAGAAGGGAAGGAAGGCAGGATGCACAAGCCTCATTTTGTTTTTTTGTCACATGAAAATGGAAAGCTGAAGAGCAGTTCCTTACACTGAATAGCAGAAATTGGTAAACTTCAGAAGGACACAACTAAACTGTGACTTCTTCACTTTAAACTTCTTCACTTTAACTTACACTGTTACAACTGTGAAGAAAATGGGAACGGGTTATACATTCCTCCCTAAACTTAATTTGGAGTTTTGGCACAAGCAAGGGAGTACTCCGCTTCGTTTGCAGGTGATTGTTGCAGCTATCAGAGCACTCTGTCTCAGCAAACTGTTGAAAGCTGTTTTTGTCTGACGTGGCCTCTGCATGTGTCCGCAGACCCCAGAAGTGGAGCAGCTGGGCAGGGTTGTGGAGCTGGACAGTGACATGGCAGACATCACCCAGGAGCTTCCCCAGGAGTCCGTTCTGGAAGATAACATGATGGAAGAGCAGGAGGCAGTGCCTGCTTCAACCCACATTGCATCAACGCTGGGTATTAACCCCCACGTCTTACAGGTGGGCGTCTTGTACTTCCCCCCAAAAGGAGAGGACTTTGTAGTACCCCTCAGTAACTTCTCAGTTTGCCCCCCAAGGCTGGTTACCAACTCGTAATAAACTGTGCACTGCGTCTGCAGTGTGATTGCATCTTGCACACTGGACTTCTGTGTCTGGAGAAAATGTTTATAGATACAAGAAGTTGAAAGGCGACGTGCAAAGTGTCTGAAGGCTAGAATTCAGGTTTCAAAGTTCTGAAGTGATAAGCTACTATCTAGCTAGGACTGCCTCAAGCCTAGTTTGGAGAAAAGAACCTAAAAGGATAGCTGTGCTTGATTTTTGTTGTTGTTGTTGTTTTTGTGGTGGTGGTGGTTTTGGATGAAAGGATAACACCTTGAACACTTCTGGGCTTCTACCTGTATTTTTTTAATTTGTAAGGAAGAAATAGTCCTTGGCTTCTCAACTATTATGTAAGCTGAAATAGAAATAGAGCTAAGATCTAAGAAAATGTGATTATCAGAACTCTTCGTGCCCATCCTAACAAGTAGTGTGACAGTGGCTTAACTAGTCACTTGTAAATGTTCATCATCAACTGGCAACTTGCTTCTGTTTCTCCTCAACTGTGTGCTTTTACCTAAAACACTTATGGCATGGGTGTGCTGGTTGAATGCAATGTGTGGAAGTTACCTTTATTGGGAAAGGGGTTGACGAGATGGATAGAAGGATTGCTAACGTGCAGGTTTGACTTCTCACCTCTTTAGATTATGAAAGCTTCCTTGCTTGCTGATGAAGAGGACCTAGATTTGATCCTGGATCATTATCCTGGGAAGCAAGCTATAAAGATGGATACTTCTCAAGAGATCTGTTCTCCAAGGCTCCCTATTTCAAAAGCACACGGACAGAAAAGATGCTCAGGTATTGTGGGAAACTACACGTTGCATGAAGAATGAGTGCAATTCTAACATTAGTAGGCAAAATCCTATCGCTGGCTGAATACCTGGCAGAACAGTTGTGTGCAGTGGTGGGTTAGCTTTGGCCAGCAGCAAGATGCCCACCCGGCTGCTCTCTTGCTCCTGTTCCTCAACAGGACGGGAGAAAACTGAATGGAAAAAGCTCACAGGTAGAGATAAAGACAGGAGAATTGCTTACCAGTTACTATTGCAGGCATAACAGGCTTTTTTGACTCGAGTAAAACTAATTTATTGCCAGATAAAATAGATTTGGGTAGTGAGGGGAATAAAATAATAAAGTGCTTTCTTAAACATCACCCCCTGCCCTTTCCTGGTCCCGGAATTGGATGGGCAGACCTGAAATGCACCTGTGGGTATGGGCCCAGCCCTGTTCCTTTTAGCAGCAATCAATGTGTGCTTTTTCCAAGATGTTCCTGTTCTCGTGGTCTCACTACAACAGTATTGGTTAAGTTAAAGATTTCTTTGAAAATCCCAAATTTTGGGGTGGGACTTACATACGTACTGTTTTTGGTGTGTTACCACGTGCTTTAGTTTGGGTAATGCAAATTCGGCTGCTGCACAGCGGGTTTCCTGGTCCTCAGTACTGCAAGTAATTATGCTTAGCTGTGCGTTACCGATCACAAATCAGGGTGAGTATTTTCACTGGCTGGTTACAAAGTCACTGAAATACATTTAAAATACCAGAAATGTGTGGCTGAAAAGTGAGCACCCATTCATTTAAATATTCTTCCCTCTTCTTCCTCCTAGTTGGTGGGCTGCTGCAGTCAAAATTTGCTAATCTCATTTGCCAACCGCCTGGCACTGCTGTGCAAGACTTCAAGGGACTGAGGACTTCGGGCAGTTCCCCCTCTGCTGCCCTTTGGTCGGCAGCTTCTCCTCTAGCATCTGCGTTCACTGTGCCTCCCTCAGCCCCGGAGGTGCAGGTGAAGACGGTGGGTGTCCGCAGGCAGCAGGGGCTAGTGCCCCTGGACAAATCCATCACCCACAGGAAGGGGAAGCTGCTGATGGACATGGCGCTCTTCATGGGGCGCTCGTTTCGTGTTGGCTGGGGACCCAACTGGACGCTGGTCAATTGTGGAGATCGGTTAAGTAGGTCAAGCGAAGTGGAAGACACTCAGTGTGAGTCTGTGGAGTACGGATTCCTGCCTGCTCCGGTTGCTCCCAAATTGTAAGTAGCATTTTCCTTCAGGGTGGTTCTTCCATACTATCGGTGTTTGAAATAGCCCTGATTTTAAGTCAGCATCTTCTTAGGGTGTTCAGTGTAGTATTCTTCCTATATAGAAGGGGTGCAAGATAGAAGATCATGTTTGTTAGGGGGATCTTTTATGTTGCTGCTTGTATTAAAGAACTAGAATATTGTAATAAGAGTAGTTATTTTTTTAACATACAAATTACACGGTCATCCAATAAAGGTTTAAAGAAATAAAGTTCAAAACTGATGTCGAGGAAGCATTCTGCAATTTAGGACTTCCAAAATGGCCTGTTCAGCTGAGGTTCTCCAGCATATCTGGTTTGCTGGCAGAGTGAGGTGCTCTCACAAAATGCACCGAGTTACGGAGGGAGTGCCAGTGCCTTTTGACTGCATTGAACTCAGTTCAGTGAGATTTATTTGCCAAAGTCTTGGTTCTGAATCCCGGGCTGTGTAACCAGGTTCTTTGTGTATAGCTGTTGACTTTGGATCATCTGTCTTGTCATATGCTTGTCAAAATTAGGACAAGCAGCATAATGCAACTGCTCTGATCGGAGTTGGCTCACGTGGGAAATAATTCAGAGCATTGCTACCTGTGTTTCTTCTTTCTGCTCCAGACTCTCAGAATCTTCTTTCAAGGTTCATGTGGAGAAGGTGAGCTTGGAACAAAGGAAGATGGACAGAGACAAACAGTTGTATCTCATCCCTCTGGAGATCAAGCTGAAACACAGCACTGTCCATATGGATGAGCAGTGTCCTCTTCTAGCACCCAATCCTGGAGTTTCTGTTATTCATGACTATTCTGACTGGGTTAGAAAGGCATCCGAGGATCCTGCTGTGACAGAAAGTGAGTGTTGAATAATTCTTCTCACAGTGATGGCAATAAATTTGGAGAACTGCCCAGTTCAGATTAATTTCAAGTTATATCAGAGCAGTCAAATGTCAATAAAACATAAAAACCAACCGTACCTCAGCATTCTTTCTGAAAGCTTAAATGTGTGTGTTTGCATTTTGGGTGGCTGACTTCATGCAGTGACTTGTACCGTGGTATCTTACAAGATTACACTGAAAACACTGTGACTCTTTTCTAAATATTTTTCTGGTTTCACTCCTTATGACTGGGTAACTCTGTACTCACAGCCGTTGTGAAGCACTGGTGCTTGACGTGGACGTTGTGTGAAGCAATCTGGGGGAACCTGAAGGAGTTGGACGCCAGCCTGGAGGAGCCCAGTGAATACAACCTGGCCCTGGAACGCAGGAGAGCCTTCTCTCGCTGGCTGTCAGAGACCGCTGCGGCACGAATAGACGAGGAGGTCTCTTTGTCCCGACATGATAACCACGTGGAGGCCGTGTTCAGCTTCCTCACTGGGAGGAGAATTGGCGAGGCTTGCAGACTGGCACAGCAGTCAGGTAAGATGCTTGAGTCTTGTTTTATTTCAGGGATGAAGTAGGAGGTAAAGACATAAAGAAAACTTAAACTTTGGGAGCTGCTAGTGAGTAGCGAGTCACTCTGAATACTGAGTATTCCATGTGAGATGTTGATTAAGGCAGTCTGGCTTGTCTGCTCCTGCAGGCAGATTGGGTTGTGTTCATGGAGGCTTTCTTGTTGGTTCTCCTAGAGTAGGAAAGTGATGCTGTGTTGCATTTGGAACTATTTTTTCCATGGCATATTCTCTGAATGCTCTTTATTTTTAATTGAGCTTCTGTTAAGCTACTGATGTTTGTTTAAAAAATGCATATTTTCAGACCCTAATAGCAAGTTTCTTCTTGGTCTCTTACATCAGCTCAAATCTCAAAACTTTTTCGTTCATTTGGCCTTGTTTGGGAACTCTGTCCTTCCTCTTCCTTTGTCTTCCTCCCATGTTATTCGGTGTTTATGCAGTGGCTTAATCCACAAAGAACTAGATAACTGCAGCTGTAAGCTGAGCAAAGGGCTCAGCACAAGCTGTGGCCCAGCCGTGTCAGCGCTGTGCTGTTGTCTCCTGTTGCAGGTGACCACCGGCTTGCTCTGCTCCTGTCCCAGCTAGCAGGCAGCCAGCCCCTCCGCGACCTCCTCACCATGCAGCTGGTGGACTGGCACCGGCTGCAGGCAGACTGCTTCATCCAGGAGGAGAGGCTGCGCATCTTCGCACTGCTTGCAGGGAAGCCTGTAAGTTCTGCTCCTCTGTTCCGTCATTAATTTGTCTTCCACTTCCTGACAGCAGTAAGGCCAGGTTGTGAGAGGCAGCCCTGGCACGTGCTGTGCAGCAGCAAAGCACAAGGTGTTGACCTGCTGTGTTTTTTGCTTGTTTTACTCATGGGATCTCTCACTGTTGCATTTTGCTCCCTTTTGGTCTAGTACATACCAAGCATTGTGTGATAAATTTGACTTCAGTTCGTAATTTATTTCTTTAGGTGTGGCAGCTCTCTGAGAGAGTAAGCATCAACGTGTGCTCGCAGCTGGACTGGAAGCGCTGCATGGCTGTCCATCTCTGGTACCTGCTGCCTCCAACAGCTTCTATTTCCCAGGCCCTTGCCATGTACGAGTCAGCATTTCAGGTAGGTCAGCGTGCCTGGGTAAAGGAGATTTTACTCGGTACCTGCACGGAGACTTCTGTGAGCAGTCGAGTATTGCTGCTGAGGTGCTGCGTATGGATTTGTTCCTTCAGTTGTCACAGCATCAGATTCCTTCACCCCTCTTGGTGATGAGTTTCTGCAGCAGTTCTCGTCAATAAGGATCTTCCTTTTCCCCTCTGTGATGGAAATAGCCCCCTGGGGCTGGACGTGTTGATAGTCTGAGTCACAATCTTGAAGCTTAGGACCTGCTCTTTAGGTTGTTGTGTTTAGTGACTTATTTCAAGCATACCTCCCACTTGCTTTCAGTGTTTCCAGGTGTTTGGCAGCTTCACAAAATTGGACTAGTATGTAGCAACCACCAGCAGGAAGGCTGTTTTCGCTAGGAATAGCCAGTCAGTTTTCCCTATGAGGTGGTAAATATACGGCTGCCTGCTAAAATAGCCATTGCCAAACCACCTGCCCTTTGTTACACTTGTTGTTCCTGCAGCAAATGTGGAAGCTGTCCTACAGGCAGTGTGTGGCTGCGTGTTACACAACCTTTGTTTATTGCTGTACGCTGGAAAGAACAAGTTTCAGTTTTAGCATGGCTTGAACTGAAGATAATGCTACTAGGTTAGAGTGTGGGGGTGGTTTCCAGTGCCTGGTAAAATGTCTCCTGCCAACTCTGCGTCCAGTGCTGCCACTAAGCTGTCAAAACTCTGCTTCAGAGAGAAAAGTCTTGCGGAGATGCACCATCTTGCGTTTCTTCAAGTCGTATGTGGCTTTCAAGCTCTAAAACTCTTCAAGAATATGGGTGGTCTATGTGGGAGAACCGAGTGTCTCTCCACACAGTGGCTTTTAAAAGTGCAGTGTGAGATGCAGTTAAACCTCCAAAAGCGCTTTGAATTTATTTTTTCTTCTTAGTATTGTGTTAGTATGTAATTGCTATGTAGGCTTTAAACTCAGATGGACTAGAGTGCACCTTCTGCTCTGGAGCAGAAAGCCTGCTCATCAGTCTGCTGAGCAATGTGGCATTCAGAATGCATTGTGTTCAAAGTATTGTCTTTAAACTATTTGTTTAGAACACACCAGAGTCTGAAAAATACGCCTGCTGCCCCCTGCCTCCTTACCTAGAAGGGTCTGGTTGTGTAATCGAAGAAGACGATAATGCGGGAAGACCTCTGAGAGACGTCTGTTTCCATTTGTTAAAGCTCTACAGTGACAGGTACGTGGGTAAATGGTTCAAAACTATTCAGAAAAACTTTGTGAAGGCAGTGACTAATGGGCTTCCCAAACTAGGGGTATGAAATCAACTTCAGTGTTCACTGAACCACTTGGAAATAGTCAAAAATCTGCCTTGAGTGCACAGCATCACAGAATATGCTGCTGCTGGTGGTGTAGATGATTAAACTCAAGTTTAGGAACACATCTGCTTTTTTCTTTTCTTACGTGCTTTCTGCAACTTTCTGCAATAGTCTTACCTTCATTGTAGTTGTCTTTACTTCAAGGCATTGAGAAATCTGCAGGAGGAGCATGTACAAAATAAAAGGTGGTGGCAGTCTAGATGCAGACTCAAAATCCTTTTGCTCTTTAACTGTTGCTCTCATCTTAAAAAAAATAATATATATATATATATATATATAAAAATAATAAATCCACACAATTTGCATAATAATTGGAGAAGGGGGAAGGAGAGGAACTAAATGGCAGCAATATTTCTGATTGTTTGGACACAGCTATTTATGTTGCAATTATTTTTCTCTACAGGCACTATGACCTTGACCACCTGCTGGATCCAAGGAGTATAACATCTGACCCTGTAGATTATCGTCTCAGCTGGCACCTGTGGGAGGTGCTCAGAGCCCTGAACTACACCCACCTCCTCAAGCAGGGGCAGGGAGTGCTGAATGCCAGCTACGCTGCCCAGCTTGAAAGCGAAGGCCTTTGGGAATGGGCTGTTTTTATACTGCTGCACGAGCCTGATACTCAGTGAGTAAAAGCTTTTCTTTGTTATTTATGATGCCCCCAAAAAACATAAATTGTTCTGTTTTATAGACGTGGCATGTATACTGTAATCACCATAGCTTCTCTCATGATGTTGGAGCTGCAAGCTGGAGAACCCAATGCCAACTGTAGAAAGTGTGTCAGGTTACACAGTGGTGTGCATAATTCTGCTTAGTTACATGTAGCATTGTACTGTAACAGCTATAACTCCTGAACTGTGCCATAGAAACAGATCTAGAATATCAAAACAGGTGAGATTTGCTTATCTTCTCTGGCTCAGGAAGCTTACTACATCCAGGAACTTGGCCTGAAAACATGAATGCAAAATATTGCATCTATTCTAATGAGCAAGAAACAAGTGTGGTTTGAAGGGATACCATGTGAATCACAAAAATGCATGTTTTGCTTCTATTGTGAAATACGTAGTGAATGAAAAATTGTCTTAAACTTGTAAATAATGTAAATAATGGCCTGATTTGTGGAAGGGTGTCTCTTGCTATTAGTGTTTACAGTTGCAATTAATACATTGCATCAGATTTTTTCTTCCAGCAGTAACTTCAAGTAAAGCTTGTTTATTACTTCTAGGGTTATGAGTCATATTAAAACAGTCTTAAGCACCAACACTAACAATGTTGCAAAGCACTAGTGATGACCTCTTTCTTAGTGTGTCACCTGTGTTGAAGTAACGCAGTTGGCTGTAGAACTTTTTGTAGTATCTGAAGTAAGACCACTTAGGACCTGGCGAGGCTGGCTCACCACCTGGAATGCCTCTGCTGTAGCCAGTAAGGGCACTGGAGTCCCCTGCTGCTGCTTTCAGTCGCCAGTTCCTTGTGTTGAGGTGCATCTTCTGATGGTGGGACTCAAAGGACTGTGTGTTGGAATAACGACCTGCTCTCTCTTCTCACCAGCATACGGGAAAAGGCAGTGCGAGAACTCTTACACCGGCACTGCGTGCTGTCCGAGACACCCGAATCGTGGGCCAAGGAGACCTTCCTGACACAGAGGCTCTGTGTCCCTGCTGAGTGGATCCATGAAGCAAAGGCTGTTCGAGCAAGGATGGAGGGCGACCGGCATAAAGAAGCCCTCTTCTTGTTCAAGGCTGGGCACTGGAACCAGTGTCACAAGCTTGTTGTCAGGCACTTAGCCTCAGGTGAGTCTATGCCTGATTTTTCCCATTCTGAACGGTCCACATAAATAGAATAGGAACGAAAGTCATTGGGTTTTCAATAACATGAAGCAGTAGGATGCTTTCTAGCAAGAGGGGCAGTACAGAGTGGCTGGCTGTTTCAAAATAGCTCTCGTGTGGTACCTGGCACGATGATTCTTCACTGCAAACACGTGAGCAGGGTAGTGCTTAACCTTCTGCACACTCACCTTGTGCCAGCAGTGCCTGGGGAACAAGGGCAGCAGTAGCATTCCTGGAGTGCTGATCCTATGCGTGTCCCTGTTCTAGGAAACGGAATGGCCTTAGGCTTGTGTTTTGTAGGTCATAAATCAGGTAAACACTTGTGGTCATGGCTGACAGTCACGGAATTAGGAAACTGACCGTGCAGCAGACAGCTGTTTTCTTTAATAATCAATATCATTGACTTGGTAAGAAACCCCATCACTCAGTTATCTATGTTTGCTCTCTTTAGATGCTATTATTAATGAGAACTACAAGTACCTAAAAGGATTCCTGGAAGACCTCTCCCCTCCCGAACGCAGCGTGCTCATCCAGGACTGGGAGGTGGCAGGGCTGGTCTATCTAGATTACATCCGTGTTATCGAGATGGTTGATAGGATTCAACAGGTAACAAACTGAAGTGGTGGTTTTCTGTCCTGCCGTTTGGAAGCTCATGCAGAGTCTTGTTTTTAGAGAAACCTTTTACTCGCTGTTCATTGCTAACTCAGTGTTTACAGTGTTACAGACACTAGCAGACAGTTTCATCATCTATGAAAATATAGAGGGAGATGGTGGATAATGTGAAAATAAGATGTGGTCTCTGCCCTGAAAACGTGTTGTTATGTAGCATGGCAGTGAGATAAGTGAGGAACAAAGCTAGCAGTTAGCTAATTAACGGGCAGTCTGTGTGTCGGCCCCATTTAATTCAGTTCCAGACTTCTTGTTTCCCTGCTTAAGGTGTTGAGTTCAAACAGGCTGTAACATGTTGTCTTGTTGGACAGATTCAGCTTGGAATAAACTCCAGCAGTGATTCTTGTAAACGGCTTTGGAATGAACTCAGGCAGAGTTCATTACTTTCTTGTAGATGCCTCTGGGGCTGACTGTCTTCTCTTACTTTCAGCTGGATTGTTCCCCATATGAGCTGGAGCGTTTGCATACCAAAGTGACTTCGCTGTGCAACAGGATAGAGCAGATAGAGTGCCACAACGCGAGGGACCGGCTGGCTCAGTCAGGTACGGTACCGCCAATATCGAGCACCCTGCTGCGAAAGGCAGTTTTAAAACTAAAGCCAGTTTAGAACCTGATCCAGCTAGCGCTGGCTGTCGCCCAGGCTGCCGGTGTCTGTTTCTTTGCCTGTGCAGAGAAGGAAGCCTGGAGCTGGTGAAGTGAGCTGTGTTTTGCTTTAATGGTTCCCGTACATGCAGCTACTGTTTCTTTGTGACAAACTGCCTTTGTTTCAGGCAGTTTTTGTTACCTGGCTAATTAGGCTTCCAGTGCCTCGTCTCCTGAAGCTGTCTCTGGTTAAACAGTGAAGTGTCTTGTCCTTACTTAGTGTTACAGTGCCAAATAAAACGTGAGCTTACCTGCAGAAAAACATCTGCTCTGAGGAGTAAGGCCAAATATTGATTACGCTCAGGGAGGAAGTCTGGAGATGAGATTCAGTGCTGGAGCTGAGAAAAGACAAATTCATAGCAGGTCATGGGTTTACCAACCCAGCCAAATGCCTCTGCTCAAGAATTGGCTCTTGAGTTGTAGTTAAGTGCATTCCTCAACAAGGTGTAAGCCTGCAGGTGTTCACACTAGCTGCCTTTGTGGTGTGGGCTGTGCACAACCACTGACCTTCCTGCTCTCCGCAGACATGGCCAAGCGCATTGCCAACCTGCTCAGGGTGGTCCTCAGCCTGCAGCACACCCCGGAGCCCGTCTCCGACTCCACCCCTGCCGTGCAGCGCGTCCCCCTTCGCCTGCTGGCTCCCCACATCGGGCGGCTGCCCATGCCGGAGGACTATGCCCTGGAGGAGCTGCGCAGCCTCACCCAGTCGTACTTACGGGAGCTGACAGTGGTGACACAGTGAGGACGGATCTCTTCACGGACAGACAGGTTTTTTACCATTTGCTCACCCTTTTCCTGCTCTGAGGGTAAGCATTCCCTTGGCAGCAGCCTCCAGCCACACCGGTTTTCCATAGAGGCATAAAGTGGCTTTAGTTCCGTGGGTTATGGCAGGAATTTTTGTAACCTGGGGGACCGGCGAGACCCAGCTGGGCCTTGCTGGCTGGCACCCTCAGCTACATGACACTTTTTCCAAGAATTAATAAAATCCCTCTTGTAGAACCTGACTGCAGGTGAGATTGTGCCTGTGGAGGGGGTTCAGAGGGGGCTTCATCTCCTGGCAGATCCGTTTTAGTCCTTGCTTGCGGCACAGAGGACGGTGAAGCAAGTTCTGGGACAGCTCGTCCTGGGTGTGCCCGTATTGGTGGGGCTGCGCCTGTTACTGCCGAGCCTTTGGTACCCGAACTGACCAAGGATAAGCTTTAACTGGGGCTTTCTGTTAAACGTTTTGCTCTGTGGGTGGGGGGTGGGAGAAGAAACTAACTTCAGAAGACTCGTCTTTGCCTGCGTTCTCTTGCTGAGTTGGAGACCCGCAAGTGTGGTGTTCCTCATTTCTCCATCCTCCATCTCCAAAACCCAAGGAAGCTGCTTCCCCGCCTCAGAGGGGGGAGCTGACACCTACGTGTGTGCCTTACGGTGTGCTCTGCGCTGCCCACGCCTCTGAAGACAGACCTCCGGGCTCCACACGCACGTGTTGCCACCATGCAGCAAAACACAGGAGCTTCTCCCAGTACCCGCCCTGCTTCAGGACTCCAGGCCAGGCGCTTCTGGTCGGAGGGGGGCAAATTCTGCACAATTTCTGCCAAAAGGTCAGTCACATGGCCCAGGAGCTCCGGGCTGCCTCTTCACAGCCACGCGTGAGGCAGGTGCCCGTGCAGACAAGCACCGTGGTGCTCTGCCCTGCACACGGCTGTGGTGGGAGCCAGCACCGGGCTGCCCCAGGGGCACGGTGCCCACGGAGCCCCTCCGACCACCGCGCGTAGCCGGGAGCCTGCCGGCGCCTCTGTGCTTGCTGCGTTACATCGGGTGCAGCCACCATCAGCATCAGAACATCCCGCGAGTGAACAGCTGGCAGTGTCAGTCTGCTCCAGTGTGTACAGTCCTCACCGTTACTGTGTTTAGAAACCGACTATTTTTGGAAGAAAAAAAAAAAAGCTGTCTATTGGTCTGCTCTGATTGCAGGGTTACTGCAGCAGCGCCTCCTGCCTCGGTGCTGCTTTGCATTGGCTCGTTGAAGGTCTTCATGCATGAGGATTATGTAAAGGTTTTTATTAAAAGTTATAAATAAAATGATCTAGATTATTTTCCTGTCTTTTTGAAAACAATAAATAAAATGTTTATAGTATTCCCACGGTTTTCTTGGCTTTTTAATAAGACTCCGGTTCCACAGGCACGTGTCCCGGGGTTTGGGCTCGGTGGCGGTGGGCAGGGGCTGGCTCTTTAGGAAGGTCGGATCCTGGGCTGGATCCTGAGAGAAGGGAACGAGTGTGGGGAATATCTCTAATTTTCTCAGGCAGGAACTCCCGTGAAGCTCTTTTATTTGCAATTGCAAGCAGGAGTGCCCAGCAAAAGTATATCCTGACCTCATGTTCCCTGTTACCCAACACCTGATTTCTCCCGTTTCCTCCCCTGTAGTCCTGAGTACTACCCACTGGATGCCCTTCTAATACCATAGATGTATGATTTTATTTGACCAACTGTTTCTTCTTTTCTTTTTTTTCCATTCTTCTCTCCTGGCTGGAGGGCCCGTGATTCTTGTTTTTACTGATTTTTCATTGCTCATCCTGTTTTTCTTAGACATCCTCCTTATTTTGGGGCAGTGGGACCTTCCCCTGATCTGCTGAACACACTCCCCACTGCTATGCTACCTCTATGCCTCCACAATCACTTCTGAATATGTGAAGTTAGGGGAATTTTCCACTGCAAAAACATCTTTTATTGCAAAAACACAGCTTTGTTTCTCACACGAGGCAAACGCAAGGGCTGGAAGAAAGGATGGGTGAGCTGGGAGGAATGGAGAGGCTGTGAGCATGTGGGTGGCATGAGGAACACGGATATGTGCACATACAGCTCCGATACCTGTGAAAGGCTCTGGCAGAGCACTGGAGGAGAGCAAGAGCCCCTCTGTGTCCCCCTTCGAGCAGGGGGGGCCAGGCAGCCTCGCCTCCATCCCTGGAAAGGTGATGGGGAAGTTTTGGATGAGGTGATCTCCGGGGGTCCCGGCCACCTGCAGCTCTGGGGGGTGGGAGCACTGGCCCTGAGCAGTCCCCTCCACCTTGGGCTGGACTTCTGGATTTGTGGATCATTTTTATTAACAAAAGTTCAGTGCCCAGCTGCAGTCGGGAAGGGGATGGACAAGGAGGAGGTGAGGCAGAAGGCCAGGGACAGCTCAGGGCGAGCAGAAGACCGTGCTTTGCTGTGCTGCATGGAAGCTGGAACGGCTTCAACAAGGACCAAAGGATTTCAGGTCTCCCCCAGAGCCCCGTGCTGGGGCTGGAGTCGGGTGCCCCAAATCCCTCGTCCTGGACACGGGTTTCCAGGGTCCTGCTCTCGGGCTGGGCGCTCAGGGCCAGCTTCGCCCTGCGTAAAGGTGACACCGGCCGCAGGGTCGCCGCCTTCGCCTCCTTCCATTAGGGTAATTGCCTCTCTGCAAGCCCAGCTGCTGCCCTGGCGCTCGCGGCGGGCCCCGGGGAGCAGCGCGGCTGGGACCGCAGGCAGGGGATGAATAATTCACCGCCTGGAAACAAAACCTCCGGCCTTAAAACCGATCGGGCTCTGCTTGGCATCTGCTGCCCGGGATTAGCAGCCTCCGTCCCTCCATCCCCAGCCCTGACGTCAGCCAGCACCGAGCCCTTAAAGGCAGCACCAAAACCCTGCCCAGCCCCAGGAGATGCCACACGAGGAGGGGCTGGATGGCACAGCCCGCACCCCCGGCAGGTGACACCGCGATGTCCCAGCGCCCGGCTCCTGACGGCCCCGGCAGCACGAGGATGGAGCCGGGCGCTCGCCTGCCCGCGTGGCTGCTGGCGCTCGGCCTTGCCAGCACCGTCCTGGCCCCAGGTAAGCACCAGGGGAAGGTGTCGGTGCCGGGGTTGGCACCTGCCAGCCTGAACTGGGACCAGCAGGGCCCTGGTTCAATAAACTGGGTGAGCGGAGCAAACCCCCAGGAGCTGCAGTTGGTGGGCAGAGTCTGCCCGGTGCCCCCTCTGCCCGGTCCCAGCCCCGGGGGCTCTGGGGATTGGGGACTCACCGTGGGCTGTGCCGCAGCTCTGCCACCCCCATGGAGCTGCCCGGGTTCCAGCACTGCTGGCAGCGGCTCTGTAAACGCATCTTGCCCGCTGCCTCTGTGAAACACAACCCAGCTCGTCCAGCTTCCAGCAAAGACAGGACGGGCACCGGCTGCTGCCCTGGCCTGGGGGCTCTCATTAGCCAAGAAATGGCCCTAAAGAGGGGCTGGGGTGGGGGGACAGATCCTTCTCCACACCCCTGTGTTTTTTGGGGTGCTTCCTCCCCCAGGAGCCAGAGCCCCTCCTGGCTTTGGTGGAAGCAGGAACAGGAATAATAGAAATAACAGGAATCATGGAAATAACAGGAATCATAGAAATAACAGAAATATTTGGCAAATAGGAGAAGGATTTGTTCAATGGCACGGAGCTGGGACAGGGGGGTCAGGGTGGTGTTAGGGAAAGGTTCTGCACCCAGAGGTGGTCGGGCACTGGGACAGGCTGCCCAGGGCTGTGGGCACGGCACTGAGCTGGACTCGATGATCCTTATGGGCCCCTTCCAACTCGGGGTATTCTGTGATTTCGTGATTCCAAGTGTTTGAACAATGCTCTCAGACACAGGGTCTGGTTTTTGGGTGCTCCTGTGTGGAGACAGGAGTCGGACTCAATCCTTCTGGGTCCCTTCCAGCTGGGGAGATTCTGAGATTCTTTGATTCTGTGATTCTATGAAATAACAAATAAATTTTGGGGTTGGACTGCCAGAAATATGGGATGGGGAAGGGGGGAAGCCAGAGCACGGGGCTGCCACGGGCAGGGACCTCGGCTCAGCTTGGACAGGATGGAGGGTGGCAAGGGAAGGCAAAGGTGGGGACTGGACTGGGGGGCACGGGGGTCCCAGCAGCAGCGCTGGGCAGGGTCTGGTGGGATCCCAGCCGTGGGGAGGGGGTCGGTGCCCCCCATGTTCACCGTCACACCCCCACCCGTGCCGGGTCCCGCAGGCTGCGGGGGTGCTCAGGGCAGGCTCGCCCACAAGCTGCTCCACGACCTCTTCGCCAACTACTCCAGCGCCCTGCGCCCCGCGGAGGACACGGACCGGCGCTCAACGTCACCCTGCAGGTCACCCTGTCCCAGATCATCGACATGGTGAGCACCGGCACCCAGCCAGCACCGGCACCCCTCTGTCCCCATCACCGGCACCCCTCTGTCCCCAGCACGTCCGCTGGCACCGTGCGCCTGGGGCTCTGCTCTGCCGCTGGGTCCTGCTCCAGCCCGGGATGATGCCTCAGCACCACAAAGCAGCTCAGGCCCACAGAGCCAGCCCAGTTGCCCAAAAATCAGATCAGATCTCTTAAAATCAGCTCAGCTGCACCAAAATCAGCTCAGATCGTGTGAAGCCAGCTCAGACCCCCAGATCCACTCAGACAGCTGGGAAAGAGCTCGGACCTCTCAAAACCAGCTCAGATGCCTCAAAACCATCCCAGCCACCCCAAATCAGCCCAGACCCCTCAAAGCCAGTCCAGCAGCTCCCCAAATCAGCTCAGACCTCTTGAAACCAGTTCAGATCCCCCCCCAAAACCAGCCCAAACCCTACAACCTCAGCACAACCCCCTGGAAACCATCTCAGCCCCTCAAAGCCCTTGCGGACACCGGGGGGGGGCTGCTGGCGGTGCTGGGGCCGGTGCCCCGCCCCACCCTCTGCCCTCGCAGGACGAGAGGAACCAGGTCCTCACCTCCTACCTGTGGGTCCGCCAGGCCTGGCTGGACGCCCACCTCACCTGGGACAAGGACGCCTACGGCGGCATCGACAGCATCCGCATCCCCAGCAGCTACGTCTGGAGGCCGGACATCGTCCTCTACAACAAGTGGTGCGCGCGCTCGCCCCAACCCGGGGGGCTGCAGGGGGGCATCGCAAATTCGGGGCTGGGGGAAGGGGTCCCGGTGGGGTGAGGCCGTCATCCTTGCTGGGCTGGGGGGATTGAGGGGCTGTCAGCAGGCGTGGGAACACCCCAAGGGACAGGGCCACCCTGGGGATGCAGGGGGTGCAGTGTGGGGGTCCCGCACCAGCCCCAGCCCCCAGCCCCACTGGGGCTCGGTGCCAGGGCAGCTGCCCCACGGCCGCCCCTGCCCAGCGCCGACGACCGGTTCGGGGGCTCGATGGAGACCAACGTGGTGCTGCGCTCCGACGGGCACATCATGTGGGACTCGCCCGCCATCACCAAGAGCTCCTGCAAGGTGGACGTCTCCTACTTCCCCTTCGATGGGCAGCAGTGCCGCCTCACCTTCGGCTCCTGGACCTACAACGGGAACCAGATCGACCTCCGCAACCGGCTGGACGCGGGCGACCTGACGGATTTCGTGGAGAACGTGGAGTGGGAGGTGCTGGGCATGCCGGCCACCAGGAACGTCGTCACCTACGGGTGCTGCTGCTCGGAGCCCTACCCCGACGTCACCTACACGCTGCTGCTCAAGCGCCGCGCCTCCTTCTACATCTTCAACCTGCTCCTGCCCTGCGTCATGATCTCCTTCCTGGCGCCCCTGGGCTTCTACCTCCCGGCCGACTCGGGGGAGAAGGTGTCGCTGGGGGTGACGGTGCTGCTGGCCCTCACCGTCTTCCAGCTGCTGGTGGCGGAGAGCATGCCGCCGTCGGAGAGCGTGCCGCTCATCGGTGAGCCCTCGAGGGCTGGGGGGTTCTGGGGACGGGGTCCTCATGGCGAAGGGGGGGTCCCTGCCTTTTCCCCCTGCCCCTCATTGCCACCGCCCGCCTTGCAGGGAAGTATTACATCGCCACCATGACCATGATCGCCGCCTCCACCGCGCTGACCATCTTCATCATGAACGTCCACCACTGCGGGCCGGGGGCCAGGGCCGGTGCCGCCGTGGGCACGGCGTCTCATCCTGCACCACCTGGCCCGCGCCCTCTGCGTCTGCGAGGTGGGCGAGAGCTGCAGCAGCCCCCGGCGGGCGGGCACGGGCGGAACGGGGCCGCAGGAGCCCCCCGGGGTGGGCGCCCAGCCGGGGCCGTGTCCCCGCGGCCACTGCCTGTGCCACCACCACGTGCTGCTGAGCAGCGTGGGCTACATCGCCGGCTGCTTCCGACGGCACCGAGCCGCCCAGCGCCGCGCCGGGGAGTGGAAGAAGGTGGCCAAGGTGATGGATCGCTTCTTCATGTGGGTCTTCTTCATCATGGTCTTCCTCATGAGCGTGCTGGTCATCGGCAAAGCCGCCTGACGGCACCACCACACACAGCACCCCGGGTGTCCCATGGGTGGCTCAGCCCTGGCACGGCCGGGGGCTCTGGGGCAGGCACAGCAGGGACCATGGGGACAGACGGGGGCTCCAGAAGTGCTGGGGAGGTGCTGGGAGCCCCCCCGTGCCAGGGGGCTGAGCCTGGGGGTCCTGGCTGGGGTGAGCCCCTGTCCGTGCTGGTGCTCGATGCCCCGTGCCCCACGGACCCGGGTGCAGAAATCAAAGTGGGAATAAACCCTGCAGCGTGCAGCTCCTGGCTTCTGCCTCCTGCCTGGGGTTTGCTCCTGGGGAGCCCATTTCCTGCTGAGCTCAGCCTGGAGAAAGAGGGGACAGAGCACAGCCAGGTGCAGGTGACTGGGGGCACCAGTGCCGGTTCCCAGGGCCACCAGCGTGCTGCTGGTGCAGGGTGTGCGTGCAGCATGCGGGGAGAAACACGGCTGAAGACGAATCCAGAGCACAAACTGAGACTTGATGTGGGTCGTGCTCATGCATGAGCCCCCCCAGGCTCCCGCAGCCCCTTTCCCAGCCTGGCCACGTCCCTCTGGGGGCCAGCACAGCCCTGTGAGATACCAGCGCGTTTGGTGACCACCTCATGTGGCCAGTGCCAGCCCCATCCCCGCTGTGTTTGACCTCAGGATGGGGAAATGAAGAGCTGCACCCCGTGAAGGCTGCACCCTTTAATGGGCTGAGCCCGAAGGAGCACCAGGGGGCTGTCCTGGGGCTTGGCCCCCTGCTCGGGGCCAGAGGAGCCCACCGACCCTGCGGGACCAACGCTCCCCACAAGGGCAGCGAGCGGCAGCGCTGCCTCCAGCGGGTCCCCAGCCCACAGCCACAGCCTGGCGCAGGTCTCCTGCAGGCACTGCCCGGCCCGGCACAGCCCCACGGCCACTCGGGGCCGGACCCCGCCTGTGGGCTCCCAGCACGGCCCCAGGGGGCTGCTCCTGCGGGGGCTGCTCCGCCACGGCTCCTTTGGGATGCTCCCGTCCGGCTGCAGCGAGGAGGCTCCGGGCCGTGTCCGTGTCCGTGTCCGTGTCCGTGTCCGTGTCCAGGGCACCACCCGCCACCCCCCGGGACCGGCACCGAGGATCTCCAGCCCGGACACGCACCTTCACGGATGGTCCGGGGGTGCTCCCGGAGGGGCTCCCGGGGGGGCTCCCGGCTCTCTCTCTGCTGCCGGGTGGGTCCCGGGGGTCCCACCCGTCCGTCCCCCGCCGCCCCCGCCGCCGCAGCGCCAGCACACGCCCGCAGGAGCCGGCAGCGGCGCTCGGTGGCGGCCCGGGAGCGGCGAGAGCGGCGCGCAGCAGCTCCAGGATGGGTCCGCCGGGGCCGCCCCCCCGGGGGGCGAACGGGGCCGGGGCAGCTCCGAGCCCTCGGGCTCCGCGCCCCGGTCCCGGGGAGGCGCTGGAAGCACGGCCCCGGGGGGCGGCGGGGGTCGGAGCCCCCAGGGGGGGGAGGTGGAAGCGGAGGAGGAGGAGGCGGCTCCGGGGGGGTCGGGGGGCTGAGGGCGGCCAACTCGGCCAGGGCGCCCGGCCAGGGCTCCGGGAAGGAGTAGAGGGAGCACCGCGAGGAGGAGGAGGCGGCCAGGGACAGCAGGGAGGCTTTCGGTGCCAGGCTCGTCCTGCGGGAGGGAGATGGAGATGGAGGAGCCCCCGCTGCCCCCCCCTGCCCTGGGGGGGGGAGACCTGGGGGAAGCCCCAGCCCCGAGCCCTGCAGCCCCTGGGGGGCCGGGGTCAGCCCGGGCAGTGCTCACCCCATGTCCCGTCCTGGCGATGCTTTCCCCTCTGCTGCCTCCATCCGCAGGGAAGCTGCTGGGGACAGAGCGGGTGAGCGGCTGGGAGCCCCCCCCCCCAGGCTCAGCCCCCCGCCGGGGGGTGCCAGCCTTCGGGGTGCCCGGTGCTGGTGGGGGGTCACTCACCGCTGCGCTCCTTCTGCGGGGCTCTCCCCGGCTGCCTCCGCTTCCTCAGCCTCCTCCAGTTTCCTCTGCATCAGCCCCAGGTAGATGGGTGAGGGGTGAGGGGGGGGGGCAGCCCCCCAGCACCCCCTGCCCCAAATTTTGTCACCTACCCGCAGCCGCCGCAGCCACAGCACGGTGGACACCAGGCTCAGCCGCAGCAGCAGCGGCAGCAGCGGGAGCAGCTCGGATGGGGGGGGGAAGCCAGAGCCCCCCATGGCTCCGGCGATGCGCAGGTCCCCGGGCGGTGGGCACAGGCCTGTGGCACAGAACCCCAAATTTCATGAGCCACGAGAAGGGCTCAGCACCGATGCCAGGGGCTGGGAGAGGAGCCCCCAGCACGGGGACGGCACCACCAGCACCCACAGCATGTCCTGGGGCTGAGCACCCCCCCTCCCCATGAGCCCCCCATCCTGTGCCAGGGTGCTGCACACACATGGGGACGCTGCCCATGGGTGTTTGGGGTGCCACAGGAGGGGTGCAGCCTGCTTCTGACCCCATTTCTGCAGGGTTGCCCCCCTGGCCAGCCTTACCGAGCTCCCCGGCCCCCCCACGAGCCGGAGCCCACCGGGATGGTGCCACGGTGCGATGCCCACTGCCCGCTCCCACCCCTGCGGGACCCCCGTTGGGGCACGGCGCGGTGCACACGCACCCCCCTTTGTGACACCACGCAGTTCTTCTCCTTCCTTCCAGCCCCAAACGGAGCTTGGATGTAGATGGGAGCCCCTCGATGCCAAACGCCGGGTCCAGCAGGAACCCACCCCATGTCCCCCCTGCCTCCTGGTCTCCCCCCTAAGCCCCCCTGGGCTGTGGGGTGGCCGGGCCTGGGCTCGTCCTGCAGCTGCTGCAATTTCCCTTCCGTGGGGTTTGGTTCCTGCACTGAGAAGCAGGGCGGTGGCGGCTGGGCAGGGCAGGCTGCAGCACCACGTCGTGCAGAAAATGAAAGCAGGCGAGCGAGCAGCAGCTCCGGGTCTGCCCCTTTCCTGTTTTCTGTTTTGCAGCTCCGGTTTCAGCCCTGGCCCTGCACAGGGCCCCCGGGGCCTGCTGGGCTGGGACAACCCACCCGCAGGGACACCCGTGGGCAGGGGCACCCACCCGCAGGGACATCACCGCCGGGAATGGGACACCACCGGGACAGGGACACCACTGGGACAGGGACACCACCGGGACAGGGACACCACTGGTATGGGGACACCTCCTGGGGCACCGGGACGGGAGCCTGGGGGCTGCTGCCTGCCCGGCTGGTGGGGAGCGAGGGCAGCTCTGCGGGACCCCAGGGGACTTGGGGGGTCCCCCTGAGGGGCTGCAGCCCTGGAGCCGTCAGAGGGCCCCGTCCCCATGCCGCAGGCAGGGCTGGCACCCCGGGGTTGCCCCTCATCGCCTCGGGGGCTGCTCCCTGCCTGGGGAAGCTGCTGTCCCTCCTGAGCCAGGGGGATGCGGGGTGACCTTTATGGGATGTTTTTGCACCCGATGGCCACCCTTGTCCCTGATGGTGAACAGCCCCACACGGGCTCGTCCCAGGCTCTCCCTCTTGCAGCACTCTGAGGCTCCTCCCGAGGCTTCACCAACCCCTGTCCCCACAGAGCCGGAGGTGCCATGGGCCTGAGGATGATCCCGCGGCTGCGCTGGGCATGGCTGTGCCTCGGGGCCCTGCTGGCAGCCCCCTGGGTGAGTGGGGGCCCTGCAGTGCGGCACCCCCACCCCGCTGCCCCTGGGGCCGGTTCCACGCCATCCTGCGGCTTTTGCTTTTACTTCGCTTTGCCACCGCTGTCCCCATGCTCGCTGGGCATTCTGCCCCGAGCCATGCGGGTGCTGCTCACCCTCCCGCTGCTTGCCTCTGCAAAGGTAATTTCTTGCATCCCCCCAGTTTCTGGGGAGCCCCAAGGAGCGCGGTGCTCCGGCTCGGGGAGGGGCAGAGACCCACGGCAGGGCAGGGGAACGCCGTGGGATGCGTGGGCGCAGCTAACCCTGAGCATGGCACGCGGCACCTGGGGAGGGGGCTCCAGCACCCAGCGTGCACCCCACACAGCCCCGTTCCCTCGCGCAGGCGAGGACCCCCCAGTTCCTGATGGACATGAGCCACGACGCCTTTGATGACCAGTACGAGGGGTTGCACGGAGGCGATGGAGGCGGTGGGGCCGGCGCTGCTGGCGCAGGAGCAGGCGCGGGGCAAGTCCAGGCTCTTCGGCAGGGTCTGGGCACGCGCCGGGGAGCGGTGGCAGCAGGTGAAGGGCTCGCTGGCTGCCCGCCTGCCCCCCGGCTTCAAGGATGAGTACGGCCAGGCCGTGATTGCCTACACGGACAATGGCCTGCACCACTTCTTCAACGCGGCCATGCGGGCGGCCGGGCGGTCGCGGGCTGCTTACAACGCCAGCTTCCCCTTCAAGGCGCTGCATTTCTACCTGACCAGAGCCCTGCAGCTGCTGCGGCGTCCCTGCGAGGCCACCTACGGGACACCGGTGTACCGGGGCATCGCCCACACCCGCTACCAGCTGCAGGGCGCCAGCCCCTTCAGGTTCGGCTCCTTCGCCTCCTCCTCCTTCAGGAGGGAGCAGGCAGAGAGCTTTGGGCAGACACGTTCCTCAGCATCCGCAGCTGCTTTGGGGTCCCCATCCACGCCTTCTCCTTGTACACGGAGGAGGAGGAGGTGCTGATCCCTGGCCACGAGATCTTCTGGGTCTTCCCGGACGAGGGCAGTCACCGCTTTGTCCTGCGGAGCACCAACAGGACCTGCAGCCACTTCAACTGCGCCTTCCTGGGTTGTGAGTAGGGGGCTTGGGCACCCCCAGCCGCTCCTGTGGCATCGTCCCGGTGCTGTATAGCCGGGGCTGCCGGGGCCAGCACTGACCCCAGCCCTTCTGCTTCCCCCCAGACGAGAAGAGCCCGGAGTGCAGGGGCAGCACAGGTAGGAACCTGCGTAGGTGTCACAGAATCGTGGTCTAACCGCATTTCGGGGGTCCCTGTGCAGGGGAAGGGGCTCAGCCTCAGCGGGGCGGTTGCAGACCCCACAGTCGCAGGCAGTGCCCGTGCCGCTGCTGCGGGGCTGAGCCAGCGAGCGGCTGACGAACCCATCCCTCTGCAGCTGGTCCCAGGCACAGAGAGGAGCTGTGAAAGGCAGCGCCCAGCTGGTGGCCTGGAGGAGAAAAGCCAGTGACCATGCAGAGAGCGCCTCACCCGCCGTCCTGCCTCATGCACCTCTGGGCCCAGTGACACCAGTGCCGGGGCTGGTCTGCTGGGGCTCACCCCGCACCGTGCTCACAGGAGGGCACCCGGCACCAAACAGCACCCAGCCCCCAGGACAGGGGAAGCTTTGTACCACTTCCACATTATTTTGTGTTTTTCCAGCTACCCAATTTTTAGCAACTTCGCAGCCAGACAAGGCTTGCACCCTCACCTGGACCCAGCCCCAAAACCTTCACAGGTGGTTCCACGTCTCACGGACTGCTGGCAATGAAAGCTCAGACCCAGGCAGGGATTTGACCACTTGTAGTGGATTTATGAGGCAAAATTTTGGTAGTGGGGGGACATAGGGGTGGCTTCTGTGAGTAGAATCCAGAATCTGGCCCACGTTAGATACAGGCCGAACTGCTGGCCAGAGCCAGTCCAATAAGTGATATTGTTTGTGCCTCTGTGAGAACATATTTAAGAACCGGAAAACCAAAACTGCTGCACAACAGCAGCTGGAGAGAGGAGTGAGAAGCAGCCCTGCAGCCCCTAAGGTCAGTGCCACAGCAGGGCAGGAGGTGCTCCATGCACAAGTTCCCCTGCGGCCTATGGAGAGGCCCCTGGTGGAGCAGGCTGTCCCCCTGCACACATGGGTCCCACACGGAGCAGATCTCCACGCTGCAGCCCCCCCATGGGTGGAGGAGCCCCCGCTGGAGCAGGTGGATGTGGCCTGGAGGAGGCTGCGGCCCATGGAGAGCCCCCGCAGGAGCAGGCCCCGGGCCGGAGCTGCAGCCATGGAGAGGAGCCCACATGGAGCAGGGGGCTGGGGGGAGCTGCCAGCACCTGTGGGGGCCCCGTGCTGGAGCAGTTTGGGACTGGGGGATGGACCCCGTGGGACGGAGCTGTGTGGGAGCAGTTCTTGGAGCCCCTGAAGGATCAGTTGGGGAAGGACGGCATCCATGGGAGGGACCCCACAGGGAGCAGGGGCACAGAGGGACCGTGAGGGGCGGTGGGGATGAAGCGTCAGGGACTGACCGCAGCCCCCATTGCCCATTACCCTGCACCGCTTCTGGGGGAGGAGGTGGAAGAGGTGGATGAGGGGAAGGTGCTGGAGTTTGGGTTTTTGTTTGTTTTCCAACTGCTCTAGCTTGTTAGTAATGGGCAATAAATGATACTCATCTTCCTACTCTGAGTCTCTTTCACTCATTATGATAATGGTTGAGCGATCTCCCTGTCCTTATCTCAACCTCTCCTCCCTGTGGCGCTGCCACTGCCCCCGGCCCCTCCGGGCGCTGTCACCACCAGTCCCGCAGCCGGCCCTAGGCCCGGCGCCGGCGGCAGCGCCGTGTTGTGGGCTGATCCCCGCAGGGCTGTTCTCTCGGGCACGCTGCGCTTGGCTCTGCCGTTCCCTCAAGCCTTCGGGCCTCGCACTGGGCACCAGAAGGCCTGCTGTGCTTGAAGCTACAGGCAGCTCAGCACCGCACAGCCGCTCGCTCCCCTCCTCCCCAGCAGGGCTGGGGAGAGAAGGGACACTTGGATCTGGCTGCAGGAGCTGGCACTGAGCTCACTCGCACACACAGAGGCCTCGCCAGGAGCTGGCACGTAGGCCTCTCAGCACGCGGACACATGGGAAAGGCTGCGAGTGTGCAAAGAGAAAAGCTTTAATGCGACAAATGCGACGATAGGACACACAAACACTGACCGGCCCTGCTTTTTTATACCCCAAACCTAACCCCTCAGCAGGCCCTCCGGCTCCTCCTTCTCTACACACCCCCATGCCTCCGCACAGCAGCTCCACGTTATTTCAAGCTCCCCAGGCTCCCCAAGCTCCCCAAGCTCCCCAGGCTCCCCGAGCTCCCCACACGGAGGTGTTGCCTTCACCACGAGGCTCCCCTTCCCCTCACAGAGCCAGTGGCACGGGGCCCCCGTTCCTCTGCAGCCATGGCTGGAGGAGCGCGGGGAGCACGGCGGCGCCTGCCCAGGGCTGTGCCCTGTCCCCATACATCTCCCGGGGACACTCAACCTTCTGCCTGCCCTTACCCTTCAGCAGTGCACAGTTGTAGTTGCTGCGCACACCATGGGAGCGGAGATGGATGATGTTTCTGTCTCTGTCACGTGTGAAGTTGGTGACCCTGAAGACCTCATAGGGTGGGATGAGGACTTCTTTCTCCTCAGGGTAGAAGGAGAAGTTCCAGATGGGAACACCATGGCAGGTGCACACTTTGAATAAAGTGTTCTGGCCAAATCTCCTGGTAGCTTTCTTATGGAGGGAGGCAGAGGCGAACTGGCCGAATCGGACAGTCTGGTTGATCTGGGCCGTAAAGCGGATGCCCCTGACACCACGGTAGACGTTGTAGCATCTGCGGCCCTGGGCTTTCCGCAGAGTGTGCAGGGCCTCGGTCAGGAGGAAATGCAGCGTCTTGAAGGGGAAGCATTCCAGGTAGTACCCGCGGGAGCACCCATCCTTGCGCACAGCTGCATTGAACTTGCGGTACAGACTTGTAGGGTAAGTGTACGCCAGCACGGCCACCGCGTACTGCCACCGCAGCACCTGCGGGTGGTTGGAGTTCCGCCACTTCTCATTTGCTTTTCTCCAGGTTTCTGCATAGGTGTGGTTTTCGAACTCGGTGCGGTTCACCATTTTAAGCTTCTTTTCCATCTTGCGTCTGCAGCCCAGGTACCGGTCATCGAAGGAGTTCTGGGCCATGTCCATCGCCTCCTCCCTGATGGGGCCGAGGTCTTGCTCGCGGGTGCTGCTGGCGGCCAAGGTGCCAGCCAAGGTGCCGGCCAGCAGCACCCAGCCCAGGCCGAGGTGCTCCATGTGCAGGAAGCTCCGGGGGTCCAGCCACGAGCGGGGATGCCCCAGGCAGCGCAGGACCCGGTCCTCTGCAACCGGCTGAGCTCAGCCGCTGAGTGCAGCAGTACAGGGCACGGGCGTCTGCTAGGGGGAGAGCGCAGGGTCGGAGAAGGCTGCAGGGAGAAGCAGAGCAGATGCATCAGGGGCACCTCCAAAGCCGCCCATGGCCCCCCTGGCACCAGAGGGAAGCACCCGCAGTGTGTGTCCCCAGCCACGGCCACCTGGGTCTTCCCCACCCCGATACCGGCCCGGACTCCAGCCCAACTACTTGCATCAAACACCGCAGACACCTGGGTTCCCCCGTGCAGCCCCGACGTCCTCTGAGGCCGCAGCATTTGTGCCAGGAGGAGCCCTGGTGCTGCAGTGAGATGTTACCTCTGCTCTGTTGCATGCAGGACCCACGGCTCGGCGCTGCTGCAGGGTGCGTGGAGCTGGCTGCTCTGCCTTTTTATAGCAACCCCCAGACAGTTTGTGTGCCAGCCCCCCATGGCCACCCAGTTGCTGCTGGGCTGCTGCAAAAGGCTGCAGGGAAACCAACAGGAAATCGCCTTTTATCAGTTGCCCATGCTCTAGGGCGTGTGTGGGTCCCAGTCCCTTGGGTGCTGAGAGGTGAGGCGCAGGCTCTGCAGCCCTCAGTGCAGAGGGG